AGGCTATAGTCTCTATCACACAAAAAAGCAGAGAGTGACAGATTTGAATATACAGTATAATAATCATGACGAATAACACTCAACAAATTTAATGCAAAGTAGGTCTATGTAATATCTGTGATTAGTATCGGGCTGAAACCAATGATTATTTTTACCAACAAATATTTTTGCTTTGAGCTAGATAGATTCAGGTGTCCAGTAGCAGCAAATATAAAATGGATCATTTTTAAAAGAATGCCTCTTGAGAACATTCCAATAGAATAAATTGTTTTGTTTTTTTTTACCATTACTTAGTTTTACTGTTAAAATCACATCTCACATGTGTGGGAGTGTATAAATGAAAATACTTGATTACCTGCTTCTGCGATTAATCAATTAATTGTTTCATCCCTAGTAGAGGGTAACAGACAATAGCGCAGTCATCTTTAAGAGCAGTTTTAGAATGAAAATAAAACTTGACCTATATGGACTATTACAATTGCTTCAAAACACTTAAAGTCAGAGTAGAACCGCTTCAGCCACTTTTTTCAAAAGTCCTTTTGTCTACTAACTTCTTCCTTGTCTTATTTGCACTTGTTACTTTAACATTAGCTATATTCAGTACTTGTCCAGACATGTCCTCCTCTTCTCTAAGAAACCGATAAACAAATACACACGCTCTACGCTCCGTCTGTGAACGTTTCACTGCACCAATAAAACTCAGCCGTGGGATTCCCTGTCTTCTGCCGCGTCACTGACTAAATGCTGACTTCAGGAAAACATACGCCCTGCTCTCTCGTCTCCTCCACAACGCCGTTCAGATTTTTACAGACAAGGAGAGGAAGGAGACTGCACAATGTCTGCCACTTTTTCCAGCAGCACAGGAACTACTTTATGGGGGTAGTCCCTTTTTATTCAAAAGGGAGACTTAAAACTGATCATCATTTGTATTCAAGAAAGACGAGTAATGAGAAAGTTTAAACTAAGCTCATATTGATCACCAGGTATGAGAAATAGATAGCTATACAAGTGATCTGGCCTTGTGTAGGTCACAACGACTCCAATTGTGTATCCGTCTTATGACACTAATGTGATCTTTCGAAGTCTTGATTGTGACACGTATATCTTTCAATGTGTGACGTGACATTGACTATATAAAGCATATCCTAACTTTGTTGTGTCTGAAAAAGACTGAAGAAAACTACAGAAACTGAATAGACTTTCAGGTTGCTTTGGTGCGCAAAGATCCCATCTTTTCGACACAGGCTAGACTCTTCAAATGACAAAGATATTATAGCAGGCTAGCAGCTAATGCTAGGCATCTTTCAGAGTTTTCCAATACAATTTGATGCAACATATTTCTCAACTCACTGATGCGGTTCAGTTATAATAAGGGCTTTTGGCTCTTTATCTAATGTACTGCCCCCATTTGAACAAAAATGTGATCGTACTTACAATCGGAGAAAACCTACGCAGACACGGAGAGAACATGCAAGCTCCACTCAGAAAGGCCTAGATGTGAAATTGAACCCAGGACCTTCTAACCACCCCAAATATATATTTTATTTATTGAAATATTTTGCTATGTGTGGGTCTAACAACATATAAAAAATATAAACCTTTAAATTATAAAAGTATACATAAAACTGACAAAATATAAAATCCATATTTAAACACAGTAAACAATATATACTTATCTAAGAATTAATTTTCAGTACACCTAGTAGCGACTACCTATAAAATCTAAACTTGCTACACCTTCCAGTACTAATTTTGAATTCAAGCTTTAATATTTTACTCAACAGGAAAAAAAAGAAACACCTTGCTTTTCTTGTTCCTATTTTGTTTTTATTGAAAAGTAAAAATACTAAAACTGGGGTACCTGACCTTCAAACCACAATAATGGAACATATAATAACATCTTCATGGATACAGTTTTATTATTTTTACCCAGGATTAAACCTCCCCTAAACGCTGGATGTCGACCATCCTCTTGGTATCCTCAGATACAGAACAGCTAAACTCACTGTACTCCAGCTGTGTACTTGTGGGCCAATATCTCTGCTCTGGATCAGTGTAAAACCCTGAACTCTATTCTGAAAGAAAAAGATGAAAAAAAAATAATAATAATAGTGCTTTTCCCAGACATGCTGTCATTTCCAGCACATTCAAACCAAAACCTGATCAAATATTGGTAGTTCTCAAAACTGTTTGATTTGATCACTAGTTTGCACAAGATTGGCCTGTCACCTCTTTAGATGAGCGTTTTCAGACAGAGAGGACCACCCCCACTCAGTATACACAAGATAACATGCTTGATAACATGAATAAGGTAAAGACGACATGTTGTAAAAGTAAAATGTTGTGAATTAATTAGACCACAAGATTTTCTGGCTGGACAGACAACGTATTTTTGAAACGAAAGAGTTGGAAACCCCAGCTTTAAACCCAAAGTATACCGGACACTATTGTATCCGCTCTCTCCATTGCAGCTGCCATTCACAGGCTGGAGTGTGTTTGTAGAGTTCTCTCCAGCTGTTTTGGGAATGTCGCGGGTCGGCTGTGACGTCAGTGCTTCAGAACATGTGGGCAGTGAATGCTGATATCTGCTCCTGCTGAAGCTGTGGAATTCCCGCTCTGTCTCCATTCTGTTTTTGGAACAATTGTGTGGAATTTGGCCTGATCCTCCCAGTCTTTCTCGGCTGTGTTCTTTCTGCGTAGCAGGCCCCTATCGCACTCTGCCCTTGTTGCTAGTTATATATTTAGAGTGGTGTTTATTCTGACTCACAGGGACTCTTGGGCCCTTTGCTCCACCTGGTATTCACTCTCATGATGAGTTTTTCATGACTTAATGTTGATCCAAGGCATTTGTGAGAAATCTGTCTCTTTTCAAAATCACTGTCATTGCCGTGGATCAGAACTGCACAATTTTGGCAAAATATAATTGCAATACTTCTGACCAACAATGTGATCGCGCTGCCATTATCGGTATATGTATGTTTCAAAAGTCAGAGTAAAAATAAACACTTGAATGTGAATATGAAGTGAGGAGGCCAGTACAGGAGGCATGCGCCTCTGTGTGGAGTGAGAGGACAAATGCCCAAAAATAACAATTGTAAACCGCTTTGTGACTGGTCTGTGAAAGGCGGTATATAGATAAAGATTACTTACTTCTACACATTTCAGACGGCCTAACTCATAGTACATTTTCTTTGTAGAAATAAGTTTCACTGTAAACATTTTAAATACTGTATATAAAAATGCTTGAAATAAAGTAATATAGTAAAATATAGTTTCTTCCCAGTAAATTATTGCAGTCTTTGTGATTTGCTAACTGTAACCATAAAATGGAGATTTTGGTTCGATTGCGAATGTGATTTTATCTAAAAATCTAAATTTAATACAGTCTCTTCAAAGCCTCTGACATGCAACCTTGTGCTTTTGGTCACAGATCAATGACCGTTGCCATGGCGCCATATCAGATGACTTGTGGGTTTTTAGAGCCAACATTTCAATGTTGTTCTGCCCCCGTTGAGAGAAGTCAATCACCACTGCCCTTTGACCAGCCCGTCCCGGAGGAAGATACAAACCGGACCGATAGAAATTGATCAGGACTTTACTATGAGTGTTTTCTACTAGACTTCAGTGAAGCATGGAGCGTGGCCTGTGCTAGCTTCATTGATCCATCAGTGAGGCTTCTATTACTTAGTACTCCTGCTACAAATGTAGAGGGGCACAACATTCTGACACATGTTGTGCCCCTCTGGCATCAGCTTGGATTGGTAATGTTTAAAGGGAAAAAAAATCCCTAATTTCCTTTTTTTTAGATACTGAATTTTGAAACCAAATAAACCACTCCACCATTGACTCCATTCTTCTCTCCACAGATATGACTTACTGGGCCACAGTTAATAGGGCATGTGAAGTCACTTGCTGGATGGAAAAGTTGAATGCCCTAGTGTGGAACATTCCAGAAAAAACTTATTTCAAATTGTAGATGGACCAGAGTAGAAAAACAGGCCATTCCTCTAGAAAGTTGATGTATATTGATTTGTGTATATGTATATTTTTTTGCTATTATTGCAATACAGATGTTTTGTATTGGTACCTGCCAAATAGTACACAGCCCTACACAGAAGTAGAAATGCCAGAAATAAGACAATGCAATGCATTCCTTTTTGTTTTCATTGTGTATCAATAACATTTATATAGTTGAATAATCAAATTGTTATAGTTATGTCCACTTTTAGTTCCGTTTTCTCTTTTGAGTTCTTGCTTAAAAAATATAATAGCTGTGACCTTGCTGTGGCCAAGGACAGGACTGACTCTTAGCTTTCATGAGCCAAATCACATAATCATTTCTAAATTTACTTTCAATGTTGACTAAAACACTTGTTCTTAAATTGAAAGGGCTTCTAGAAGTACGACTTATTGTGTCGTGTTTCAGGTTGATCTTATAATCTTCTTCACCATGATGAGGCGTCAGCAGATAAGAGGTGCACTTACAAATTACATTTTGTACTAAGGTCTGGAGGTGCTCCATTGAGCTCCGTTTACAGATAGGAGGGGTTAACTCCTTTTGCAGATTGAAACGATTGGATCTGAGTTTACCGTGACGTATGCAACGTCATTAGCATTTAGCATGTAGCCTAGCCAGCTCCTTTGCCGCTAACGGAGCCCGTGGGGAGTAGTGCCACAATTTTTCCAATGATTACATTTGCTAAATATTCCTCTTGCTCTGGCTTCAATTTCTTGATAGAATACTTCACTATCGCATTTTTCGCCATTGCCAAACCACAGCCTTCCCGTTCGATGCAAACTCTTGACGTCACCCGCAACTAACTACAACACCTGCCTTCCGCGCTCTCTGAATGGTCGGTCGAAATTCAACCGATTGTAATCGCTAACACAGGGACCAGACCCAGACGTTACATGCAATGAAATGATGATTGAACGGAGTGTACGGATGGCTAAGGCCAGGCTAGGATCTAGCTGGTGATGTTTTGTTTGTCTTTGCACAGATCGAGCGGCGGATGGAGCTGGTGCGGGTGGTGTCCCACAACACTCACAAAAGGATGGTGTCGTGTCTGCAGGGCCACATTGGAGCAGAGGCTGAGAAGAGACATGTGAGCTTTGATACAATACCACTAATGGGACTTAATACAGCAGCTGTCATGGATGGCTCTGACAGAATGCAATTGGCTGGCAAACACAGTCTGACCAGGTTATCTATTCCCTATGTTTGGTTACATTACTCCTATCCTATTTATTTATCACATTAAAGCGGGGTTGCCTAACGATTTCTCTTCACAAATTATTACATTTTGTTTGTCTCAACATAAAGAGGCTTATACATTTGGTGAACAAATCCAACCACAACATGCTGTATTACATTTAGCATACTTGTAAGAAAGAGTAATTTGAGTCACTATTTGACACTTCGAGCTGAGCTTAGTGAGGGTGGTCCCTTTTCTGTCTGAGAAAACGGATCTAAAGATGTGACCGAGACCAAAAAATACATGCTTGTGAAAATGTAGGACACAGAAAGCAATGGGATCAAGTAGTACTATTGTGTTAAATGTCATTCTACTTTACAGTATATGTGTTTGAACTCTGAAGCCCCGATTAACCGGAGTAATATACTAATAATAAGTACAATATTATATATAAAGGTACATACAGTTGAACCAAAGATCTGAAGTCCACCACCTATAAAACTTGACTCAAACCCCCTCATCTCTCATTAGGTTCATTATCATTGTAATTGAGTGATTGTAGAGTGACATGTATGCTTATGTGGACGTCTGATGACTTCCTGTTTCTCTACCCCACACCTCACAGTCCGTACCACGCCTCTATACAGGAAACGGCCAGGTAACAATGCATTATTCACCCTCTCCTCCACCTACGCCGCCTTCCACTTGCACTTCTGTTGGCTCTAGTTCACTCTAGTTCACTCAAGTTCATTCTTCTGCATGACACTTTCCCTTCTCTTTGGTAAAAAACAGGAAACTTGATACTTTAAAATAAATACTTTGCAAATGGCCACTGTCAGATGTTGATTGATGTTACTCTTCCCTTTTAAAAAGCGTCTTCAACTTTTCCTCCCATAGAATGGAGCGCTCTCTTCCTCTTCCTGGTCCTTCTCTGGGAAATGGAAAATCTGATCCATTTCTGTTCTGTGGTAGAGATTGATGTTCCTCTTGTACTTGCACTGTGTATCTTTATACTACATATATTCATATTTGTGCCAAAAATATCTTCATTGTTTGTTTTATAAAAACTTTTTCATAGCAAGTAAGTGGCGAGTAATTTGACACTTTGGGCTGAGAGCTGATTGGCTGCGTAAACGTGGTCCTCTTTTTCACTTTTCTGATCTAATGAAGCCCAAACTAATACTAGTGATAGAACCAAATTATTTTGAGATTAAGGAACTGCTTTTGATGGAATTGATTTAAAAAAAAAAAAAAAAAAATAGAATTAGTTTGAAAGTTGGGTATTCCAGCTTTTAATAAGCAGTGGGTAGATAACCAGGTAGATAACCAGGCCTTTTCCCATTTTCATATCCGACATAATTCTTTTAACCAATTATTATCTAGCTAATAGCTAATTATCAGTGGGGGAGGGTCCCAGCTCAAAAGTGGCCAAAATGACGTGCGCTGACATGCTTGCAATTGCTTGCTTGCAATTGACGTCACGTCCGCCTCATTACGTATGCGTATCACGAAGTGGTGGTCAGCCGAGCTAGTTGATCACTAGAGCAGCGTGTCTGAATCTGCCTTTTGTATGTGTTGTTTTAAGTTTTCTAACCGATCGAATCGTGAAACCTTTAATGGATACTTTAGGATTCCTTGTGAAGAGATGAATAAAGAGCCTCGCACTAAGGACTTTACGAAAAGAGGCAGGAAAAGTGGCTCGCTAACATTTCACTGCAAACGGTTTTACATCGAAGGATTATTTATTTACCCAGCCGTGGAGTCACAATGTGCAGTTATTACATCCCCATCTTTATTTCATTCATTGTCAGGTGTGAGTCGGCGTTTTAAATAAACACTGTGAATGTTTGACCTGAAAAGAACACAGCCACAGACGCATTGTTTTGTTTAGAATGATAAGTTCATACTAGTGCTGTCCAACGATTAAAATATTTAATCGCGATTAATCGCATGAATTTCATAGTTAACTCGCGATTAATCTCAAATTAGTCACCCATTTGCGTGCTGTGTGCAATTGCTTTTTTTATTGAAAACAATGTGTAGTGTTATATTACACACTAACATTTGATGCAAAATCATCAATAAATGGATGACAAAATAAATAATTGGTAACAAAAAGCCCCTTCAATGTGTGTGTGTGTGTGTGTGTGGAGTGTGTGTGTTTATGGGTGTGTGTGTGTGTGTGTGTGGGTGTGTGTGTGTATGTGTGGGTATAGACCATAGACTGTATAGAAACATCATGATGTCATTATGATGATGATAAACAATTTTTTTGTAAATTTGTTCATGTAAATACTCTATGCTGTTTCTCTGTTTACTTTCGGTATATCTATGACTGTATACTGTTTGCTTGTATTGCCTTTTTTATTAACCCCTCCCCCCCATCTCCCACTTCATGTCCCCCCCCTCCTATGTGCCCTTCTGGGTTTCTTCTTTGGCCCCCTGTATCTCCAACTACATATTGTTTGTAATCTCTGTCTACAATGTATCTTAACTAGTCCTTTTCTTTGTGTCTATTTTTTTTCTGTATATGTGTTTGTCTGCAATAAAAAGTTAAAAAAAAATTAATGGCGATAAAAAAAATGACGCCGTTAATATTGATTTGCGTTAACGCGTTAATAACGCGATATTTTGGACAGCACTAGTTCATACCAATCCTTACTTACAAGGCTCTGTACGATGCAGGATGTGTTCTTCAGGACCTCAACTCTGAGTTCTTAAACCCACAGACAGTCTAGGATCTTGTCTTTAATTCAGACAGAAGACATGTTTTATTGTCGATGGTAGAGGCAGCATAAACACAGACGTTACAGAATGTAAGTGATATACAGCGGAGGAATGGAGACTTATTAGCATTATTAGCATGTTAGCATTTGCCGCGGTGCCAGCAGCTTCAACCTTGATATTACCAAAACATGTAGTGGAAAAATTCTGCCTTGTGCATATTGTTAGAACGATGAGTTAGAACGTTCACCACAGTAGCTTCAAAGTGTCATGAAATATCCAAAAAAGCAAAAAAATACTCGGAAGAGTTGCATTTTCTTCATATATCAGCAGCAACTCTTGCTGGCCTGACCTCCACTTCGTCAACCGGAAGTTTATGCGTCACGTGATTGCAAGCAAGCAATACCACCCCGGGCCGATGGGGGTGGACCCAGAAGTAGAATTAGCCAATGCTAACATATAGCATTGGCAGACCTCTCAAAAACGTCTTTACAAGATGGACCAAAAGTTGGCTCTTGGCCCAAAGCTCCGTTCCACATGTGTGTCAATGCTGAGGGGGGTGGATTTTTTTGGTCCACTCTAGTTTACTTGCTGTGAATTTTTTAAGTCTCTCGTTCAAATGAATGGAGTTGCGCCGGCTGACGCATGCACAGATGCGTTTTTTCACAATTTTCTTGTGGGCGGAACTACTCGCGGCCATTTTGCATTGCTCCAGTAGAGCACATTTTTTGGCCCATTAGTTAGAACGGCGGAGATAGGCGTGACTCTGTCCATTAATATATACAGTCTATGCTAATTATTCATGGAACAACATGACTTTGTGTGATATTGATTTATATTTTTGCTTCATGAGATTTGTAGATTGTAGCATGTTTTAATTGGCTGCTTATTCTTGCCCAATGAAAAGCTGATGATTGCATTTATTTGCTGTAGAAAAAGCTCCCGCTAACGGCACTGTCCCAGGCGATGGTGGAGGGCGGGACTCAGCTCGGAGAGGACTCGTTAATAGGGTGAGTTTGAGATTGATTGACAGCCACTTGGTCCCTCTCCTGATGAGTGCTGCTACATGGAGCAGATGCAGAGACTGTGAATCTGTGAATATGGATCCACACGTTTGGACCTGGCCTTTTTTTGTTTTGGACCAGTCAAATACTACAGCGTGAATAAGCTTCAAGATAAGGCACCAGAAAGTCCACATGGCAGCAGCGTGACTATCTGGACTTTTTTTTTCTTCAGTAAAAATCAAACCGTGTCAGTAACAGTATTTCTTTGTGCTTGTTTGAGACCAACAAATTGTTAATGGTTTTATGGAGATTTAATTTTTTCTCATTAAATGTTCTCTTATTAAAATGTTCAACTCCATTTTGTCATCTGCCAGTATTGATACTGGAGTAAATGGTCAATGTTATTTTTTAATGAAAAAATAAAATACAAATATTTTAGAAAATACTGAAAAAAACTGTTAGAAAATATGCTTCATAAAAAAAACTTGATCTAGATTCTGCGATTTTGGCCCCTAACGTGGAATAGATATGTTTAAACCCCTAACAACCTAACTATGACAAAATCTGAGTATATTCCGTTTGTAATTGTTGGAAATAAGTTGCATAATCTCGGTGCGGTCCAATAGAATAGGTTGATCTCATTATAGGCGTGTTTATGGAGGACCAAAAATGACTAAAGTATAAATAAATAAATACAGGAATATATTAATAAATACATTCATTTTGGACAATAAAAACTAAATATTTACATTGATGTGTTAAATATTACTCTGAAATCAAATAAATATACTTTTATTTAGGTTATTTATCAATATCTACATTTTTTCCTTTATTTATTTATCCATTTATTGCATATATTTATTTATGTATTTCTACATTTCTTCATTTATTTATTGATGTATTTCTGTGTCGCTACATTTCTTCATTTATTTATTTGTGTATTTTTGTGTTCCTGTATGCTAATTAGGTGGGCGGTGCTGAACGCAATCTAGAACAGGATTGGTTAGGATTGCGTGAACTCTGGTCTCGATCTTTACTGCCTCACATTACGGTACTCTGTTAGCTAGCTAGAGATCCTCTGTGCACTTTTTTGTGGTATGATGGCAGTTTCGAATAAGTTTTTTAGGAGCCATTGCTCATCAATTAAGAGCATTAGCAAATGATGTTAATTATGTTGAGCATAATGCACCTGAGGACTATCTACTCTTTCGGCTGGAAAGACTATAGATGTTTTAGTTCATCACAGTGCTGACCCAGAGGTAGACTTTGATGCAACTGAGCTGGATGCTCTTCAACAAGCTATACAGCAGCTTCACATCCTCTCACAAACCGAGAAGGCTAACTTTGCTTCTGTCTGGTTGCCCTGGCTGACCTACTGCCCACCAATCCTGCTATTGAGTTCAGCACCGCCCGCCTAATTAGCATACGGCAACACAGAAATACATAAATAAATAAATGAAGAAATGTAGAAATACATAAATAGATAAATGAAGAAATGTAGCGACACAGAAATACATAAATAAATAAATGAAGAAATGTAGAAATACATAAATAAATAAATGAAGAAATGTAGAAATACATAAATAAATAAATGAAATGTAGAAATACATAAATAAATAAATGAAGAAATGTAGAAATACATAAATAAATAAATGAAGAAATGTAGAAATACATAAATAAATAAATGAAGAAATGTAGAAATACAAAAATAAATATATGCAATAAATGGATAAATAAAGGAAAAAATGTAGATATTGATAAATAACCTAAATAAAAGTGTATTTATTTGATTTCATAGTAATATTTAACACATCAATGTAAATATTTAGTTTTTATTGTCCAAAATGAATGTATTTATTTATATATTCCTGTATTTATTTATTTATACTTTAGTCATTTTTGGTCCTCCATACGTGTTGTCATGAACAGGACTGGCTCTGTGGCCACAGCAAGGATTTGGTGACATCACTGTGACCTGGTTTACTTTCCCGTATTGACCGCAGAGAGAGGGAGAGAGAGACACAGATGTCACTTCTCTGTTTGGCCAAAAAAAAAGCTCCAAAATGGCACTGAACATGGACTTATAATATACAGGAAGATGATGGAGGTGTGCGGGGACGCAGAGAACCGCTTGTCCTCGGAGCTGATGCAACACGAGCTGCAGCTGGAGAAGGATGTCCTGGACCCTTTGAGTCAGCTGGCCGAGGTCAGCCACACGTGCACACATCAGGTTACACTGCACTAAACGCTCATTACATTATGCACTGGTTGTTCTCTATAAATCATATAGGCATTGCAAGTGGCCAGTTCTAGTTGCTTTCCAACATGGTGACTGTATTTACAATTCATTACAAGTTGATGTCTGCAACTTCAATTCCATTTCAAAATAATACATACTTTTGACCAAATAATACATCATTTAAGACAGTTCTTTGCCTTTGAATACGCATCACCAGTAAGTAGTAGTTAAGGATTTGAATTCATTGCGTCAAATAAGGAACTTGTTGGGGCGGGTCCTACTGGCGTTTTCATTCCAAAAATTAAAAGCAACTGATTCTAACGCATGTTGAATGAAAATTGATTTATTCATTCCTCATCTTTAACATTGTTTGACTTGTTTGAGTGGAGGATAAGAATCAGAATGATTCTGACTTATTGTTTTACTGCCATTGTAGGTAACAGGAAGTTGCAAATAGGAATTTGCTTTGGCAATAACCAGTAATAAAATAAAATAGTGAAAAATTTAAAAGTATAAAATCCTTTAAATGCACACAATCGGGAGCCGGTTTAATGCTTAAGTATCTAAAACAATGCTTCTGAAATTTGAAGCATTTGTCAGAAATATAATAATTGTGTCTGTTCAGACAGAAAGTCTAAAAAAAAGTTATTCAGTTAGTTATCTTATTGCAAAACATGTTAACGTTTGCACACTTGTAAGAAAAGAACCCAGTTAGTCACTATTAGACACTTTGGGCTGATAGTTGGGTGGTTCTCTCTTTTTCTCTTTCCTGTCTCTACACATTTGACAGAGGTCAGTAATACACGTAGGTGAAAACTAGTGATTTAAACAAATTTGTTTTAATTGGATATTTTTGTAATTGAAAGTGATTTGTATGTTGACTATTAAATGAGGCAAATAATTCAAATTATTTAAGTCTGTTCATCAGTACTTTGCAAACGCTGAACAGGAACAGACACAGGACTTTGAGATATGTCTGAAAGGTTATCCAAAATGTAAATGTATTATTGTCTCTCGCTAACTATAACATACATTTGTTGTATTGTCTTACTAGGTGGACATCCCCAACATCCTCAAGCAAAGGAAGCAGCTGGCTAAACTAGTGTTGGACTACGATTCCGCTCGAGCAAGGTGACTTTCAATCTTCCAACATGTCTTTCCCTGCTTTCCTCTGGATTTCTGAACGTGCTTTGTCAGATGGTTGCAGGCGACCAAGTCCATAATCTCAGGAACCAACACTCAAGCACTGACAGCCAAAGCAGACCTGCTGAAGGAGGAGATGGACGAGGCGATGAACAAGGTGGAGATGTGTAAGGTACGGTCCCTCCAAACTTTTTCAGGAGGTTTCAGGGTTTACTGCCACCCGCATTCACGCAGCCTCAGTCATCTTTTGTAACGCTGTAGTTAAATATTTGCGATTCTTTAGGAGAAAGTAATAATAATACATTATACTATAATTACTTACAGTATAGAGCGCTTTTTTGGACACTCAAAGACGCTTTACAAAACACAAAATAAACATTGAGAAACAAAATTAAGGAAAGGCAAGCTGAAACAGGTGGGTTCTGAGAAGAGATTTAAAGTTCTGTAGTGAGTCTGAGTTTCTGATGGGTTGAGGGAGTGAGTTCCAGAGAGAGGGGAACTCTCTCTGGAACTCTCTTCGCTGCAGCGAAGGCTCGTGAAAGTAGTGTTAGAAATGCTGCTAAGTGAATTCTCCATATTGTAAAACAAGTTTATAACGTTCACTCATCAAAAAAGTTATTGATTTTGTTGATATTAGAAGGTTTTGTACAAACTTGCTCTCTCTCTCTGATTCTGATGCGGGAACAATCAAGTTGTTAAAAGTTAAAAAAGGCATATGTCTGCTTATATAAACCAACTAGTTCCTCGCCCTGTCTTAGTCCCTCCTGCACTGGTAAGGAACAACTCATTTTCATAACATCACTTTTCCATACATCATGTTTTCCAAAATGGGAAACATGAATCCAACGGTTTCCCCCTCATGGAAGTAGTTTGCTATTTAGAAAGAATAATACCACAGTAAACAAATACAGTTTCAGTATTTAGCTTTTTTTTTTTCAAGTTCCCTGATCCCTCTGACCCTGTTGTATGTCCACATGAGGCCAAACCAACAGTCACTGTCAGCAGCGCGCGCACTTTTTATTATATCACCGAACATCCCATGGTATGGTCTTTGAGGGATTTGGATGCATGTGTTACTTCAGGCTGGACATCTTAGCCCAGACATTTCCAGTTGTCCTAAACTTGATTAATCGATTTTTTTCGAGTAATAACATAAATTGTGTTATCAGTGGCTGGTGCTATGTGAACTCGATGCAGCTCTGACTGCCACCCTCCTGACCCAGAAATGGATTAAGGGGAAGAAGATGGATGGATGGATGGATGTATTGTTTTTATTTTACCAAAAATTAAAATTTCTTCTTTGTGAGATCAATAGAGTCTATCTTATCTTATCTTACCAAAATGCATGTCAATAAAAGTCAGTTAAGATAAGATTTTCTTTATTTATCTCACATAGGAGAAATTTACATGTCACATTTGGCATGGATAGAGACACTCAGATTGTGCAAAGGGAGGAAATGTGCAAACATGTTACATGCAGGATATATGTACAATAAAGTGACAAGTGACAATAATTATGTACAACAAAAGTGACAAGTGTCAATTGGAAACAGTGTCAATAGTAGTGCAGATTTTCACACAGTGATCATTTAAAGTGACTTATTGTACAGTCTGACAGCGGTGGGGATAAAGGCCCTGCGGTAGCGCTCCTTCCTACACTGAGGGTGTCTCAGTCTTCCACTGAAGGAGCTCCTCAGCTCCTCTACAGTCCTGTGCAGTGGGAGGTATTGTTCATGATGGAGGTGGCTTTGGCTAGCACCCTCCTGTCCCTCACCTCCTCCACAGAGTCCAGGGGCCTCCTGTCCCTCACCTCCTCCACAGAGTCCAGGGAGCAGCCCAGAGTGGAGCAGCTTGTTCAGTCTGCTCCTGTCCCGCTCTGTGCTGCCCGGGGCCCGACACACGGCAGCGGAGTAGATGGCAGAAGCTACCACAGAGGCATAAAAAGTCCTGAGCAGAGCCTGCTCACTCCGAAGGACCTCAGCCTCCTCAGAAGGAATAGGCGACTTTGGCCCTTCTTGTGCAGGGCGTTTGTATTATGGGACCAGTCCAGTTTATTGTTAATGTGAACACCCAGGTACTTGAAGCTGTCCACCAGCTCAATGTCCTCCCCCTGGATGTTCAGCAGCGTGTGGGAAAGTGGTTTTCTCCTGAAGTCGATGATCATCTCCTTGGTCTTACTGGTGTTCAAGCACAAGTGGTTGTGCTCACACCAGTCGACAAAGTCCTTGATAACCGACCGATATTCCAGTTCGTTCCCCTCAGACACACAGCCCACGATGGCGGAGTCGTCGGAGAACTTCTGCAGGTGACAGCTGTGTGTGTCGTGTGTGAAGTCTGAGGTGTAGATGGTGAAGAGAAACGGTGAGAGGACAGTGCCCTGAGGGGCCCCAGTGCTGCAGACGACCACCTCAGACTCACAGCTGCGCAGCCGCACGTACTGTGGTCGGTCTGAGAGGTAGTTGATGGTCCATGCAGTGAGGCTACTGTCCACTCCCGCGTCCTCCATCTTCCCCTGCAGCAGTGCCGGCCTGATGGTATTGAAAGCGCTGGAGAAGTCGAAAAACATGACCCTCACAGCGCTCCCGGCGGGGTCCAGGTGGGAGAGCGTCCGCTGCAGGAAGTAGATGACGGCGTCCTCTACTCCGATGTTGGGTCTGTAGGCGAACTGCAGCGGGTTCAGGGTGGGGCTGACCACGGAGCGGAGATGGGTGAGGATGAGCCGCTCCATGGTCTTCATCAGGTGGGAGGTCAGTGCGACTGGTAAAAAGTATATTTGCACTGAAGACAACCATAGGTGGGCGAGTTTATCAAACCCGTGTTGGCTTTGCACCACAGGGAAGATGGGAACATAGCAAAATAAGAGTCAAAGTTGTTTATTCTGTAGGTAAGGAAAGTCCATTTTTAAGTCCATTGTTTGTGTATTTGTGCCTTCAGGACCAGCTGGCAGCGGACATGTATAGTTTCTCATCAAGAGAAGGGGACTACGCCCGATACTTTGTCACAGTAAGTCTTTTGGACGACGCCAGACTCTGGGAACGACCACAGCTGCACTGGGGACAGAGGCTCAGCTTGTCACCTCTGTTTATAGAGCAGCAGTGTACTTTTTGGTGTACTTTTTGAATGTCTCTGTGACATCCATCTCTTGTTTTCCTGCAGCTTTTGGAGGCACAGGCCGATTACCACCGAAAGTCTCTGACCGTCCTGGAGAGTGTGCTGCCGACCATTCAGGCTCAACAAGGTACAGTCTGGCTTTGGACACTCGGGCATGATAAATCACTATCCAATCCAAATCGCAAAACAAAACAACAATTTTAAAGGTAAAGGCGCACTTTATTAATCCCCGTAGGCCAATTCAATCCTCTGCATTTGACCCATCCTGATGCCACTAAGGCTTATGTCAGGAGCAGTGGTCGCCATAGTACAGCGCCCGGGAACCCATCTCCAGATGTTGTTGCTCGGCTTGGTCAGGACTGCCGGAGCTGGAGGATTTAACCTAGTGAGCAGGTTTTTAGTTGTAGGGGAAACCGGAGTACCCGGAGGAAATCTATAATCTCAATTATGTAATTTTTCTCAAATGTTCTTGAACTACAGGAAAAGTATTATGCTTTAAATATATTTGGTCTTCAAATATATTTAAATAAGCTATACTTATTTTTATTTTTTTATGAGTTCATAAAAAGGCTTATAACTACATAAAAATTTTATTATAATCTGTAATTTAATTGAAAACTTGAGCTCATTGATTCAGCTGTGTATAAATTCAGGCCGTAAAAAGTGCTGAGTAGAAACTTGGCGTGACGCTCGCTCTCTTACAATCACAGAACGAGGCGAGTCCTCTAGCCTCTACAGCGCTGCTAAACTCGGTAGCATTAGCAAAACAGTCCAAACGACACAACAGTGAGGAAGAGAAAACGAAAGCGAAAAAATGATCAGAGAAGAAATCAAGCCCGGGTGAACATAGCGCTTACATCGTATCCTCTGGAGAGACTTGTCTATGGGAGAGACCTGCGGGACCGCCTCGGACTATCTATGCTCGGACTATCTATGCTCGGACTATCTATGCTCGGACTATCTATGCTCGGACTATCTATGCTCGGACTATCTATGCTCGGACTATCTATGCTCGGACTATCTATGCTCGGACTATCTATCTATGCTCGGACTATCTATGCTCGGACTATCTATGCTCGGACTATCTATGCTCGGACTATCTATGCTCGGACTATCTATGCTCGGATAGTGAACGGACTACATTCAGACGCAAAACTAGCGATAATCTTTCAGTTAAATATTTTGTACCATTTCATCAGTGATTGTTGTACAGCTTACAAGAAGTTGCACTCATGCTAATGTAGCATACATATCAGATTGCAAATAAAACCAGATGGCTCCGTGGAATGAGAGCGTAGGGGAAATGAGAAGCCTGTGAGCTAGTTGAGGGGCGGTGCTAAACATTCAAACCTTGCACAAACGGGTATAGCTCCTTTAATATAATTATAATATCAATCAAAGTCCTTTCTTCTTGGAGGGGATTGGATAATTATTAGATTTTTGCTCTGTCAAATCCCTTATATACTCAAATCCAGTTACATTTATAATAGGGACAAATATGTGCATAATTAAAATAAATTGTGAGTGAACTATGTCAATAATGGGTTTAATCGCGACTAAATATTTTAATATAAAAATAAAATGCGTGGGACATTTGACTGACATGCGCATGGGCGGTGTGTGTCAGTACGCCCGACCCGGTATCATCATCCTCCATGCCGTGGCTGAAGCCGGTCAAATCACGTCTACAAACGTAACTGCTGCTCAACGCGTTTGGACAGCGCATTCTCTGAAGAATGCGTGCACTGTCAAACATTTGGACACATCTACAACACTCTAAACCGATCATTTTAGCATTTTGTTCTTTCCTGCCAATGAAATGTGAATAAAGACAAAATGGTCATTACTCGATCATGAATCTGCCTCATGAACCAAATGTGATTGTTCTGAATGGTAAAAACCCGCATGAATCCAAGGTAGATCACCGCTCAGTGGTTGTTGTCAAAGTAGATCTTGGTTTGATAAAGTGCAGGCACCCCTGTTTTATACTCTGAAAGGCAATGACAAACGCGATTAGGTAGCCTTTATTAGACAATCCAAAATACTTTCTCCATGGAGGGTTTATTGCTTCATCCAGTCCCTTTTGAACAGGGGGAATTGTGTAGCCTGGTCTTACCACACCATAGTACAAATTACATTTCGTACTAAGGGTGGGATTTGCTCCATTGAGCTCCGTTAACAGGTGGGAGGGGTTAACTCCTTTTGCAGATTGAAACGATTGGATCTGAGTTTACCGTGGCGTATGTATTGCACCCGAGTGAGTCGCTAGCATTTAGCCTAGCTTTAGCCATCCCCTTTGCTGCTAACGGAGCCCGTGGGGAGTAGCGCCACAATCTTTGCCAGCAATTACATTTGATAAACATTCTTCTTGGTTCAATTTCTTGAATAGAACCAGAACGGATTACTTCACTATTGCATTCTTCGCCATTGCCAAACTACAACCAGCTATTTACAACTATCTACAACACCCACCTCTCGCGCTCGCTGATGATTGGTCAGATGGAATTCAACCGATTTGTAATCGCAAACACAGGGACCAGACCCAGACGATACATAGAGTGAAATGATAATTGAGCGGAGTTTACGGATGGCTAAGGCCAAGCTTGGATTTGTGTGGTTAATTGGAATTATTTATGGGTAACCTATAACATTAATGTTATTCCCAATTCTCATGTTTTTTTTTTTTTTTTTTTTTTAACAGTTCGTATAAATGAACAGCAGTAACTGTAAATGTTAAACACTGCTTGCGCACTGAGTGTAAGCAGTGAAATTGTGTTTCTGTGAGTCGTTTTCTGAAGCAGCCTCTTGAAGTTACATCACAGCGTTTGTTTTGGTAGGCTTTGGGCTGCTGCGCTGTGGTTATTACTCAAGAATAGTCCTTTGTCTTTGCTCCAGTCATTTTTCCCCTTCCTTTGGTTTCAGCGAGTACTCATTTATTTGTTCTGCCATCTTCCTGTGGTATTGGTTGAGTGTATTTTTCTGAACTAAACGTGTGGTCTATCAGCATATGAGGGTGACTCACAAACTCCACACACGTCCCCCTGGCCTCTGCCCTCACGTTTCCACTCAATCTGTCTGCTGCAATGTATTCAGTCAAACTGCAGTCTGACATCATCCTTTCATCAAGCGTCTGGTATTTTTAAAATAAAGCAGATCGTTGGCACTATACTGCTGTCCAATGTGCCTCTTTGCATGATGTGTAATTTATAGGGCTGTCAAACGATTAACATTTTTTAGTTGATTAATCGCATAGTAATGGTGAGTTAACTCACGATTAATCAAATTTTTAACATTCTATTTCAAATCCACTCCAATTGAAGTTAAATGAGTTTATCAAATGTAATGACTCATTATTATTCAGACCAAATGTTCTTAAGTCTGTTCGATTTGCTCACAACCTTTTACTTTTGGGCTCAACCAAAATTAGCTGTGAATGAAAGGGGAAACTTTTCGTACCCCAGCTTTAATTTAGCGAGTTTAGTTTAGTTTCAGGAGGATGTGAAACACTAACAAAGTTTTTTATGATATGTTTAATATAAAAAACGTTGTTAGTGTTTGACATACTATTTTGCACTTTGGATGTCCAATGACATGACTGTACTGAAAAATACTGTACGTGGTTAAAGCTGGACTAACTCACTTTGTGACTTTGAAGCAGCAGTTTCACATGTAAGCGCTGCCCCCGCTCTTACTGCTCCCCTCCCCGCACTCGGCCTGTGCTCATGTGCTGTTGTTTACGGAGCTTGCGTCTTACAATGTGGATCACACATTTGAACGTGGATGGCATGACCATAGAATGATAGAACCGGGAAGCGCGGAGGACGAGACTTTCTTCTTGATGGCTGTGTAAGCAGTAACCGGTAACGAAGACACGGGAAGTTTAAGGTTTGCCTCCGCCATGAGGCTTGTTTACCTCAGCCGTCTGCACAGCCTGTAGATTTTCTCAAGAAAGTGGGGGCCGGTGGTCTGCTGCGATTGGTCACAATCTGGTCCCAAAATAAATTATCTTCTGCGTTGCGCAAATTTTTAATCTAAAATAAAAATGACACTCCAGCACAAAACTGCGCTACTTATTCTCAAAAGGACGTATATCCCAATGCACTGCATGGAGATGGATAAAAATTTTTGATAAAGTGAGGTAATCCAGCTTTAAGTAGTAATAATAAAACATTCTCTCTCAACCGTGATAGATTCACCAGTGTTTTCTTTTGGGTATTGCAAACATATTCTAAAAGTTATACTAAAAAAGTTTGGACTTTGCCCAAAAACTCTTGACTATGAAATGAGTTTGAGATTCAGTAAACACCAGGACAAGGAACTGCTGTGCATTAATACACTGTCCCAACCAAATAAACCACCAATTAAAAACGTAAAAAATGTGCTTGATAAATCAGTTGATCTCTTGTAATGACGTGCTCCTGGTATGTGCAGACTGCTGGACAGAGAAGCCGGCATTTGGAACCGGACTTGAGGAGCACCTGAAGAGGAGCTGCAGGGAGATCGCTCTGCCTCTGGAGGCCTGTGTCATGATGCTGCTGGAGACCGGCATGAAGGAGGAGGTGAGCAGAAGCATGCCTCAAATCATAATCATTCATGTCTACCAGTGTTGGTCTGTAACTTTGTGCTGACCGATGATATTACTGTTTGGTCATGGTCATCATACATGGGAACTAAGTGTAATTAAAGGAGTTTTATGGTCATTCTGTTTTCCTTCATGCAGGAAATCAATATGCCTCATCAAAGGCTCTGCGCTCTTTGGGGTTCTCAGCTTGAGCTTTGTATCAGTCTTAATTCCAGTCACTTGTCCTTTCCACTCATATTATTCTGACATGTGGAGGGATGGTGTACATATTGAAAGCTAATATCTGTCTTTCTACTCTGGGCAAAATTTGTTGAACTCCGTTGTAAATCAATTGTTTAACTCTATTGTAAATCAATTGTTGAACTTGTCATTTCCTTCCAGGGATAAATAATTGTTATTGAACCTACTTTAATACATGGTTAATATAAAGCTGTATTTTTATCAGCCAATAGTTAAGTTCTTAATTGTTATAAATTGACTGTTGAGGGAGTCCCTTAGGTGGTGGAACTCGCCTGGGGTTTCTAGGCCCAGTTTTTTCACTGTTCCATTAGAATAGAATAGATGTATTGTATGTCGTACATTTTCTGTGGATGTTTTAGAACTGCTGAACACATAATGCAATCCTTATTATCTCAGGCTGCTGCAAGTGACAAGCCAAAAATAAATGTATGTGTGTAATGGTGGGGCTATTGATATTATGACAAGTAGTGAATGAACCAGAGGGGGACTATTGTAAATAGGTGAGATGACCGGGTGAGAGCACACACTGTTTACCAAGGGAAGACAGGAGAATTGCAAATTAAAAGATTTATTACAAAAATAAAATTGTGCACGTCCAGGATACTAAAAGTCCATAATAACAAAGCGGGCTAAAATACTTTAAAAAACGACAGCCCAAGACTGCACGTGCTACGGGCTGTCCTGGGGAGCGGTCCCTCTCCACACGCACCGGGGTCACCTGGGAATACAAGACAAACGCCAGCACAGGGGTCCGAGACTATGGCCTGAGGCTACGAGGATGGAGTGTCGCTACAATACTTACAAACGAGGCAGAGTTTCCTCTGCCCCTGCGTGTAGATCACTTCACAACACTCCTTCACTCAGTCCCGATCCCTCCCGGCTGGCTCTCCTCTGCACGCTGGAACACCTTACGTGGAGACAACTAGCGGCAGTCAAATGCTCACAACACTATGTTTCTCAAGCTAGCTCCTCCGACAAGTACTACTACGGGCCCCAAGGGTACTCACACGGAAGGCAGAGTCCTCCTCTGCGTGTAGATCGCTTCGTAGCACTTGCGGTTCAAGCGTGCGCGTCGTCCCCGGTGCATGTGGCGTCTTCCCCTCATGACAGTGAGCCGCTGCTCTGCTGCTCCCCGTATGTTCCCGTCAGCTCCGTCAACGCGTCATCTCTCCGACTTGTACTTTGCCCGCCACACTCCTGATATTGGTCCTTGTCAGGTCCATAGGCGCACTCCCCTCAGACCGTGGGCCTGTTACTCCTGTTCTGTTACTCCTCCAACCTCTTGCGCTCACATCGCGCTCTTTTCTTTGTTGTGTTCCTCCTCTGCCTCTTATTCCTCCCTCGCGCCAGGCACAGGTGCGTCCAATTGTGCATTCATTGGGACAGTCACGTGGATGAGTCATCGGATAAAAGCAGTGGTGGCAAGTCTTAATATATAAATAAATAAATACACTGCAGAAATGGATCATGTTAACAGTAATTATTTTGTGAAAGCCTTTCTTATATTTACTCGTGTCATATCAGACGTGGGGTCACACGTCTGATATGGTCACATCACGCTGCTCCACTTCTGACCACAGTTTGTCCACATCTGAAGTCCCAGCATAAACGGGAAACGCTTTTGTCTATGTCTGGCAAAGATATACATTTCCCAACACAATGGCCTGGACTTGTCTCTTGGCCATAAATCAGCTACAACAGCTACACAGAAAGCGTGTCTATGTGTTCCTCCTTGTGTGCTGGAGAAAAGGCTGCATTTGTTTGCCACTTTTAGGGCTTCATTATGTGCAGCGAGCCCACTCTATACAGCAGCGATCAGAGACAGAGACTGTGTGGATGTGTAAAGGGTACAGGCTTGTGAGATGGTCACATTGGAACACTTTCACTGTTTCTAGTTGTTTATTCTTTCTCATCCTGTAGGGGCTGTTCCGAATTGCAGCAGGAGCGTCCAAACTAAAGAAGCTTAAGGCTGCACTCGACTGCTCCACGTCACAGCTAGAGGAGTTTTATTCAGACCCCCACGCTGTCGCTGGTATGATTCTGTGATATGCAATTTTGAGAAAAAACATGAAGTGAAACACTTGTTGACCCCGCCTCACTGTAAAGGGTGTCAGATTTCAGTAGAAAGCCTTCCTCTGATGAGGGCAGCTTCAGGCCTTTTGCAAATTCAAAATAAGTACAAGCTTTATTTTGAATGTTGATGTTTTTAGTGGTAGGGGAAACTGAAGCAACCACTCTCAAAATTAATTTTACTTAAAAGAACCCAATATATGATTATTGAAATAAAACGTTGTAAATCAATCTGGAGTAGCTTTGGTCCAGCTGTGTTTCAGTCGAAGCATACGTAACAGAACTCATTTTAAAAAAAGAAAAATCTAAACCCATATTCAGTAAAAGTACAGTAAAAGTACTGTAAAAAGTAAAATATCCACAGATGCAAAATATAAAGCTAGAACATGTTTTTTTCCCTCAATATCCATTCATATCATCGGGGCATTATGACCCTTAACTCATTGTGTCCCATTGACGCACAAATACGTCAAAGCAAATAGTAACGTCGTGTGCCATTGACGCATTAATCCGTCAATTGCCTTTTTTGCTATTTTCACGTTCCCAGATGTCTATTGTATCTAATATGTATGGGGATGACTTGAGACCATATTTTATCGAGCCAGCAGGTGGCAGCATTGCTCTCTGAATGGTTTGAAAACATGTAGGTGCACATGTTGTGCCTCTTTTTTCTCAACTTTCTGGTGATTTCTGGTGATTTCAGTAAAACTTCCCTCTACTCGACGGAGGATTACAGGGGAACGAAAAAAGCTATAAACAAAATTCTTTTTGCTGAGGAAAGTAGACAGTCCATTCTTTTAGAATCTGGTGTCGGATTTCAGATAGTCATAGTACACAATATTCTGTGGGTCTTGAAAAATCAGTAAAAATCATCAGAAATGGCTGGCACTGTGGGAGTACCTGTTCTGAAATAGGCTGGCATTCAATGAGTTAAAATGATTCTTAATTGCCAACACTAGCAGCAAACCTGTTTATTTGTGGTCCTAAAATACAAAATCAACCTTTTAAAATCAGCATACGCTTCAAAAAACCAATAATGGTCCATTTTTAGTCGATGTCACTGGGACATTAATTCAAACCATTACAGTTAACATTATTATCTTTTTAATAATATTAAAGATGGAGTAAGCAATTTTGTTAGCTTAGCCGTTGCATCAACTCGAAGCCACTCCCCCAACCAAATCCAGCATTTTCATTTCGTTCTTACAACAGCGAGAGTGGGTGGCAAACGTGAAATTGGCATTTTCTGTTCAGCCATTTAAGGTTTTAGAAAATCCAATAACTCAGGTGCACACACTCGTGAGAAACAGGAAGAGGGTGAAGGGGTTAAACTCATCCCATTGGTTCGTAGGGAATTAACAAATCCAAATATTTTGTATTAATTTTTGGAGACTATTAATACAAAATAGTCTCCAAAAATTAATACATCTGGTCAATTCTATTACTATTTGAAAACACATGATAACTTGACTACTTTTAGGATTTAAGGAAGTTTTCCCACAACCACTCCCCCCTCCCCTCGCCACAATATTTAAAAAACTGCGTCTGGAAAAAATCACTGACTGGATCTTTAATAAAAGATACATTCAAAGAATACATTTCTGTTCATACATACATCACAACATGCTAATCTCCATTCCATTTTGGAACATTCTAAAATGACAAGTTGAATGAAAATAAATTGGTGCCAAATTACAAAAATAGATACAAAGTTAGGATGGTCTATATGTAAACTACATATTCCAACAGTCGATTTCACTTATAGATCAAATGTAAATAGAAACTGTCTTCATGAAAAGGCGGTGTTTTGAGGTAGTATTGAGCCACATCATCCTCTTGCTTATATTTTCCACTCAACCGTAGCATGTCTGGAAAACATCACGCATTTCTGTCATTTTCAGGAGCTCTGAAATCCTACCTGCGGGAGCTGCCAGAGCCGCTAATGACCTACCAGCTCTACGAGGACTGGATCCAGGCATCCAGGCAAGACACATGCACGGCACAGGGCACAGACTGCAGGATAAAGCAAACTATTCTTAAATGAACTTTTCTAATTGTCCTCAGTGTGTCTGACCCCGACAAGAGGCTGCAGGCCCTGTGGGTTGTGTGCGACAAGCTGCCAAAGAGCAACAAAAGCAACTTTAGGTGAGGCTTAGTTCATTTATGCTTTTGAAAGCAGATGTCAGGGCTTAAAGTTTTCCGGCACCGTGCCGGAAATCCGGCGTGAGAAAAAAAAAAAAAAAAACATCACTTTTTTTTTTTTTTTTTTTTTTTAATATATATATAAATAAATAATGATTGCTGTCATTTGAAAAAAGGTTCAAGTGTGTTCTACCAATTGTATGAAAGGATTGCATGTGTATAGCGCAGGGATTAAAGAGTTCCGTCTAAGTGACGGATTTCCGTCAAATGAAATTGGTCTGAAAAAGAAACAAAATATATAATAATATAATACACACAATGAAATGGTTAATTATAACAAAATATATAGTAATACGCGTGAATCTGTTGTATATATCTATATATATATTAATAATTTGAATATAATTGTATTTATATGTATATAGAAATAAAAAGTAACGAGTGGGCCTTGAACGTGCCGTGGCTAGCTACATGAGCGCTCCGTAAATGATTCAAGGCAATGGGACGTAGCCAAGTTAGCGATGGTAACACGGAGGTGAAAGTTTCTGAAAAGTGCACGGAGCTTTTGAAAAGGAGAAGAGGACGAGGAAAATGTAATCCCGAACGGAGCAATAACAGCCAGCAGCCCGCGGACCGATAAACTGGGCGCGTTATCAGAGGAAAGGTAGGACATAATTAACGTTTACCAAACGCAATGCTTTTTTATTTAACGGAATGTACAATATGTACTTTGCTGTGACTGGGAATGGGGACAAGCATGTCTTGGTGAGCTTTTGATAATATCTTGGTGGCGATCCGCATGCAAAACTGCGTGATAAAAAGAGCCAATCAACGAGAGCGAACGGAAGAAACTCGCTGAAGAAAGGTGTGTGTTAGCAGGTCTTATATTCATTAATCAAAGCTAGCCTAGCATGCACGCACAATCACAATCATGGATCGTTGTTTATGGAAGAAGGAGCTGTATAAGTTGCTGTTGATAACGGAGTGAAAAATAAATGGAGGTGGGCATGGCTGGATGAGGTGGAGACGATGGGATTCTGTTGCTTCATGGTGCAAAAAGATGAAGGTGTCCGGTGCTTGTTCGTACTTCGCTATTATTATTTTTTTATATGGGAGTAATGAGAAAACAGCTTTGGATTCACCACCAGCTCAAAACTGCGCACTTGGCAGCTGTCCGTGCACTTTCCCACACTTCTTTACCTGGTGCATCAGATTCAGCGACAACTGAGACTAGGCTTGCTCTGGTGGACTGTGTCTGTGACCTAAAACTATCTGTGGCTTTATCGCAGAAAATAACCTGTCGTTCAGAACCATCACTACCGCTGGTACTCACTTTTAACGCTCAGGGTTTCATTTTATTCAATTAGAATAATCCACTTTCAATGATGAATAATGGATGAATATCGGCTTTGATGCTCCGGCCAGTGGATCATGTCACAGCTCAGCATGTTTTGTATTTCTTCAGGTATTTAGTGAAGTTTCTTGCTAAATTGGTCCAAGACAGTGAGGTGAACAAGATGAACGCCAGTAACATCGCCATCGTCCTGGGACCCAACCTGCTCTGGGCCAAAACTGAAGGGTAGGATCAACACTTCTGTTCTTATACAAGTGACATTAACTTTGAATTTCCATTAGTGGGATAGATGAATACTTATCCATTACAAATATATGAATACATTTATCCCATCTACTATTTACTCTGCCTTACTCTATTCGCCACCTCTCTTCCTTGACTGTTGCACCGAGAGCCAAAGCAATTTCCTTGTCTGTGACTTCCTGTTACTTACATGGAAATAAAAATGATTCTGATCTAATGATATGGATCATCAAAAGGAAATTGTTAAATATAAATTATTAAAATGTGTTAATCAATATGTACATAACATGCGTATATTGTTGGCATAAATTAGAACTTGCTCTCTTTCTTGTTTCACTTTGCTTTAGTCAGATTACACGGCTTTGGCTGAAAATTTAACATGAATCTATTTTTCATTGTCAAATCAATTCAACAACTATTATTCTGTCAGATGCATTGTACTATATTTTGGAGTTAATATGTATATGCAGTAGTGTGGCAATGTTTGTATTATTTGGAATACGTTTTCTATAATAAAATATAATTATAATTTTTGCTGTCCTTAGTACAGTAGTTTCAAATACTTTCTGATATTATCACACAAAACATAAAGATATACATAAACGGGTACAAATGTAATGTGTTTTCACAGGAGCTTGGCAGAGATGGCTGCAGCAACCTCGGTGCACGTGGTTACCATAGTGGAGCCCATAATCCAGCACGCGGACTGGTTCTTCCCCGAGGGTACTGTTGTCCACGATCCTTTTGTTTACATGGTGCCAAACATACAGTATGTAACTGCCTCAATGTAGTCATAAAATGTTCTGTTTGGTCTACCATTTAAGAGCAGTTTATAAACGCTTATATGCTAGAAATACTCCTCAATGAGGCATGTGAAGATTGTTGGGATTATTTAGTTCACAATATAATCATACACACTTCAAAATAGTAACTGTGATAAAGAATATACAACAATTCTGTTTAATCTATTCCAAAAAATATTCTAATAGATTGGGTTAGGATTAGGTTCATTTAGTCTGATACCACGCACAGTAGCATTTGAATCTCGAAAATAACATCTTGACGCTTGAGAAATTGCTGCAACTATTTCACGGGAACTGAATGTGATGTTATAAAATCGCAAATTTTGTGTTACCATTTTATGATCGACTCAACACACCATCTTCAAGTGTACTTATGAACTTGGAAGAAAAATTGTAACATGTTGCACAAAGGGATTTGCCTTTTTCTCGCCATAACTGTAATTTAAATATTTGAAATGGTGACATTCTTACAAACGAGGCACCCAGATAAAACAGATGTCCCCCCCTCACAGATGTGGACTTTAACGTGTCGGGCATGTTTGCAATGCCCACTCCTGCATCCAACCACAACAACCACATGGACTACGACTCTGGAACCGTGGAGAGGAAGAGGCCAGGCAGCATGCTGGTGCCAGAGGGCGAGGCCATGCGCAAAGACAAGTGAGATCTGCCTCCCTCCCCTGCTCTTGTAACTTTTACTCACACACTGTGTCTAGAATCCTGCTCAGGTGATTTTTCTTTCATAGAAGGCGTGGAATTATGAGGAGCTAAAGGGTTATTGAGGTTCAGAGTGTTCTATTTATTATGATTACGAACCATTTTACTTTTATTTTTTACCTAACCCTAACCCTGTTTATTGCAAGAACAATCTCCTAATCCCACTCCTCCCTCTCCGACATCATGAGTACTTTTACAAAGCTCTAATGAATACAGGATCTCCAACCCTGAGGCAAAGTTACGAGTCTGAAAGCGTTACAAAGCTCTACTCTATCGAATAAGGCAGCATGTAATCCTGTACCAGAGCAGAATGGTCTGACTGGGGTGGAAGCAATGTTGAATACTCAGTTTTATGCGTATTCTTTTGCTTTGTGAACGTCCTCATGGGGTGGGTTTTTTGGGTCTAATCAGTCCAATCGCTCATGGCTCCTGTCCTGTGTCTGCTCTTTCTGTCCCATGCATAGCCCTTCTAACAAGCACTCGGACCACACTCTGCGCAGAGGCAGTAACACCATAGGTAGAAAGCAGCACACATCCCCTGCCTTCCAGCCGCCTCTGCCTCCTGTGGAGGCGGCGGGACAAGGCCAGGGCGAGCAGACCTCCTCTCCGCAGACGCTGGACTCACAGCAGAGCTTGGCCCAGAGCCTGGCTGCTCTGGCTGCAGCTCAGCAGCTCCTCGCCCAGCACACAGAGGAGCTGAGGTGAGTGTGGGGTCAGGGTCCACAGTCATGTCCCATTGCTACTACAATGGGACATAATTATTTCTACATTATGGGAAGAAATTGCATGGATGTTGTATATCCAAACTCTGGTACACAAGATATGCATACTGTATGTACTGCGTCTGTTTTTCCATCTCAAAGGTAAAAATGGTCAAACAATTACAAACACGTTGAGAAGATTAGTTGATCTTGGTCCTTGTATGATCCAAAACTTGATATTGAATGTTGTGTGTAAATAATACTTGTCAACCTTAATAATTAATGCAGTCTATTTTGAATTGTCATCACAATTGTTCTCATTTGTTTATGGAGATAAAAACCCTGCCTTATGATACACACTGTCATGAGGCCTCTGTTCTTCTGAACTCTTCGAACCACGGAAACCAGCAGGACCGTCTCAGACCTGAGTCCTCAGTCCTCTGTCCAGTGCTGTCCACTGAGCACTTCTCTGATGATTGTCCCTCTGCCATTTCTCTGCTCATTCTAATCATTACTTCACTTTTCATCTCTACATATTCTGAGTTCAACTTGTTAATATGAGTTGAAGTATTCTTGTTCTTTACTTTTGAAGCAACCCGAAGCCGCACGAGTCCACCCTACAGAGGAACGGCTCTGAGAGGGGAGGACAGCTGAGCACAGGGGCTCCCGGGGCCGGACCCATGGGACCCAGTCCTCACACGATGCGCAGAGGTGACTATACACACGCGACATTACATACTGTTCATCAGTGGAAACGATAAACACTTCATGGGGACATTTCTCATCGATGCATTATTATTATTATTGACAATAAACAAAACTGACGTCCTCTATGTTTCAGGTACCAAGAAGCAGGCGCCTGCTCCCCCCAAGCCCACCAACCCTCCTCCTAGCCAGCCCTGCACCTCAGCCAGCCCCGTGCCCTCTGGCGCCACCAGCCGCCCCCCCTCCAGCCACTCCCCCACCTCCCCCTGCTTACAGCAAGGCTCCACGCCGCGCCGCCACTCCAACAACCAGCCCCCTTTGCAGGCCCCCAGCCACCCCCCACCTGAACCCCCCACCCACCAGGCTGGTACAGAGGCCACGCCCCCAGACACACCCACGCCCCCAGACTCCCCACCTCCACCCTCCTCTGACCCCTCCCCATCTCCGTGTACCTATCCAAGCGGCTCTCTGCCCCGGCCTCGCCCCGTGCCCCGCCCTCGGAACAGGCCCTCTGTCCCCCCGCCTCCCCAGCCTCACGGCACAGCGGACGGGACCCCTGACACCAACGGGCTCTGTGTGGCCGCCTACAAAGTGATGGGTGAGTACGACCCTTGCCCCTCCCCCTGAAGGCTGCATGAGTCCCACTTCAGACGAGAGTCTAACCTCACCTCTGCATTAATGCTCCACAGATTAGAGCTCCTCTGTACTAGTGCAGGTTTGTCTCCCCCTGCTGCTACTGCTGCTGCTACTGCTGCTGCTACTGCTGCTGCTGCTGTTCCTCTTTCTGCTGATTTTACATTTCACCTACACTTTACTCCCTCCTGCACAGAACCCGCCACAAATCGGTTGCAAACATTTCTGCTAAAACTACTTTAATGGTGCATTCCTCTGCTGGCAGCCCACTTTTTACCTCAGTGTTGTTTTGCCTAAAAATGTATTAAACTTTCCTTTTACATTGGAAACGATCATATAATTTCACTCTTTTAAGTCAAACGTAAAAAAAAAAAATCCATAATTGACGAATGCACATGTTTTAAACTGAACTGTATTTCAAGTAAATCAATGAAATATCTATCACAAGAAGTGGGTTACAGCCTTTTAAATAAAGTTATTATTGCACTAAAAATGGTGAACACTATTTTCATTGTGGCTGTGCTCTCCAGAGTCTCCATGACTCGTATGTACTTTAGTTCTTGAGTACTTGAGAACCACATGCATAATGATGTCCAATTCTCACTTTTCAATTTCAATATCATTTAGGTGTGAGTGAGGAGCAGAGAAAGTGGTGTTTTTAAAGCTTCTTTGTCTGCGCTGCTTGAGTGTGTTAAGTCTCTGTGAAACGGCGCCTCCTGCTGTTCATAAGTGACGGTAGCCACTTTTCAGTGGTGAAAGGTTTTGGTTCAGATTGGTCTTCACAGCATTTTGGTTTGGGTTGTTTGTGGTGGTTGGTTTTAATAAAACGAGAAACTTTTCAATGATAACAGGAAACTTGTAAAGTGTTTTGTGTAACTTGACCCAAAGCTTGACCTAATAAAATGCCCATGTTTGCTTGTAGACCCTGCACTGTCCTTCCGGGGGCTGAGTCGCGCCCTGGTCCCAGATTTGGGTGTGGACTCGCCTGTCCCACCCCCATCGCTGTCACTCAGAGACTGTGAACTGGACACGGAGAGCACTGTGCTTTAACTACAGCAGCTCTCCTCAATCATTGCCTTTTTGTCTGACACTTTCACACAACTCCTTTTTATTAACTACACAACTGTAATACTAGTCAGTCACGTCTGGAAACTCTTGTCACAACTGTACCATCCCCTTTTTATATAGTGGTCATTTTAAACTCCTAGTCAAGTTTCAACTCTCACAACCACACATGGACTTAAATGGCCAAGAACCACACCTTGAGAATCGTGGTTAAAATGACAATACAAAACTGGGGACATTGAGGTGGGTTAGATTTATGTTTTTTAAAAGGCCTTAAAACCCCGTCATGAGTATAAAGCAATGAATGTGTCAAACCAAAAGTTTTCTTGTATATCTGGTGACTGCAGGTTTCCGGTCGTCTTAAAACACGTTTTATATTGTAACAAAAGCTCTTTCCGCTCTTACTGTTGTATTTATTTATCAAAACATTCCCTGTGGCTTGACCTTGACACGGTCCTGAATTGTAAATGCCTTAATATACATTACTGTATGCACAAAAAACTGTTTTGCTGATGTTTTCAGGGAAGTAGATTGGAGTGTATTTAAAATGAACTTTTCTAAGTTGCAGAGTGAGAATATAAAGTCAGTATTTTGCCTTCTGTGTTGGTCAGAGCATGATTATGAGTTAGCGAATGTAGTGACAACACACACTGATGATGCACTTAAGCGTTGGTCCCACTCTGCAACACATTTCTTCTTCCTTTGTGAGTGGATTGGTCTGTCGCGCCGAGTGGAGGACAGTATTAACCTTTGTTGTGACGCGCGCAGACTCCCTCAAGTCAATGGTGTATTTTCTTTGTCGCCTCAGATACAAAGCAGAGTTCAGGTTCCAGGAAATGTCCATATATGGTACTAATGAACTTTTCATGGAGTATTAATCCGAATCCCCTGTCCTGTACCGAACTGCCTTACTGGATTGTCAAAGATCTTCTAAAATGATCAAATTCTGCCTTTAGGAGCGCTGTGGTTTTGTATGTTTGCAGTATTGTGATGCTTGAATCATGCTTGGTTATATTCATTTTCCAAAGAAAATAAAGACTATACTGAACAAGATTGTAACAGGATTGTTTTTTTTATCATGCACCATAAGGAGGTTTTTACCAGTAAATCATTTGGAGTCGAGTGGTACATTTGCAAGCACATTTATAGATCCAGAACAAACAAGTGCATTGAACTTTAAATAAAAGGGACTTTAAGTGATAAACATATACAAAAAAATTATAAAAGAGGCCATAAATAATGAGATAATACAGAATATTAACATTAGGGAAATAGAAATGCTACTAGCTGCACATGTTAACACTAACTTACACCAACATGCATAAGTTGGACCAAATAATAGAACACTAATTCACGCAGCCTCACCAAAGCTGTGCAAAAGTAACAACACCATTTGTCATTCTTGAACCACGGAGAGGTCTTGATAACAGTCAGACGTGACAGAATGAGCGATGCATAGGCGGCAAGTCTGTGTGCACTCTCCAAATACAACATGGCTACAGAAACACTTGAGATGAGTCATGAGATCACCATGGCAACCAGAGAAGCAGGAAATCTCCATTTACAGAAGCCTTTCGGAGCCCACGCTTGTTCCTTTTCCGGGGCCGCCCACCTGCTGTGCGTGCAGGAGAATGATCGGATCATTGCATTTGTAAAAGCACACAGCGTGTCACGAAGAGGTCCTGGCGTCCTCCCACCCCTGGTTTTACGTGTTGCATCTTTCACGCGCTGTTATGGTCCTTTTCTGTCATATAAGCAAAGCCTTCCAAGCTCTGCCCTCTGGAAAATGATGAATGAAGCGTTTAAAAATTACAGCCTGCCAAGTCCGGGCTGTCTGGGCGCGTTTCAGGATCCAGTTATGAATTGCTGGTCCAAAACTCATCTCCATCTGAAGAAATCTTACTGCTCCCAGTCAATATTTGTGAAGACGAGTCTGCATTTGATGAGAATAATTGGGGTTGGCCAAGTTAAGAACAATGGAATAATGTCGGCAAAATTTCACCAGCATTATTTACAAAATAATAAAGCAAAAAGACATTATTGTTACTTTGCTGTCTATTTTTTCCAATATGATCAATCCATATTATGCATTATGGCAGCACCAGAGTTACAAATCCAATGTTTAAACTAACTAGGCCTCTACCAAACTATTGTTTTTTTATGACACCTACATATAATTCAATAGAAAATATAGACTTTACATTATAGACTGTATGATAATAAATCTATTTTGTGTTTTTGGAGCGAAGTTCGTCCTTGCTTCTCTCACAGCTAATCTTGGTTTTAAGTGACCGGTGTTTCCCTCTGAGTGCGGAAGTGGCTGTGGTGGGGTTCTTGGCACTTTGGTTTGTGGAGACTGGACTCTGGTCTTCTACCAGGCCAGAGGCGATGATAGCCTGGGACTCCTGGGGTTCTCAGGGCTCTGGGTTTCTGTCAGCGCCCTCTACCAAAAAGAGAACAAATAATCAGTATTTTCTATTGTTTTTCCTTATTCTCCTCTTCAATCTATTCACTTGATGGACCTAGACTATATTATGTTTATAACAATTGTAGAACATTCCAGCTGGTAAAAATATTACAAATTATTCACAACTGAAATATCAAACTCCTCTTGTGTCAGTAACTGTTTCTCAGTCTTAAAGCTTAGTCCCACCTCAAACTTGGAAATGAAATCTGCGAAAATGCCAAAGAACGTCTCGGTGCTGGTGGTCTTGCCATCTTCCCCGAAGTACGAGACCACTTTGGCAAACTCTTCCATGGCTCTGGTCTGGAGCGACTCGAGCGACTGGATGGAGGGGTGGCTGTTCTCCAAGAAGCTCTGCAGCCACAGAATGACGGACATATACAGTTGTGCTTTACACATCCAGACAGAAACATGTTTGTAATTTAGACATATTTTTCTCATGCATTGTCTTTGGTAGTGTGATTGTCAAAACAAATGTTTTAAGTGTTTAAAGTGTCCTTGATTAGACGTCTTTTGGGGTAGGTGGAGTTTCTTTATCCTCTCTGAGAGGACTGCACTTCCCTAGAACAGAACCATGAAGTTATGATTTGAAAAACACTTTATTTGATAATAAATCACACAGCCACTAACAATGATTGAAATATGTTGATGATCCCCAAAGTATGAGTGCATAAACTTAAGCACAACTGTATGATAAGTACGCACGCTCATGACAGAGGAGAACTTGTCCTCTGGTGTGGGGGGCAGTTTGACGCAGGCCGCTCGGATGTCCTGCACCGTGCTCTGGAGGTCGTCCAGCTCTGCAGTGATAATCCTCTGGTTAACTGTTGGGAAAACAAAAACACACAACAACATTTAACACTCTAGCTTCTTCATGTTGAATGTGTTTCACCAATTTTCCAAATATGTCAGCATAAATGAATCTAACTAAACTGTAGGATAAGATGAGAATAATTTGTAGGCAACTTCAGGGCCCAGCATTGAAAGACTCATTCATCCACATTCACACCTCTAGACCCTTCAGCAGAACTGCTGCACGGTGCCATCACGGCGGGGTCATGGCTTACCCGAAGGCTTTCAGTCCCCTTTCAAAATGCACTCCATAATTATAAATTAATCTTCCACTTGATTTGGGGCCTGGTTTCACTATGAGCACACAGCTAGACTTCCTCCAGCTCCTCCAGGGGAATCCTAAACCAAAGCAGATGCCCTCTCCATCTCAGCTGGCTCCCAACAGTTCAATTCCAAGATTCTTCATTATTTGAAAAAGTAAGTATTTGTGGCTGATTTTATGTACATTGCTGAGACTTTCACTCCAAACAATAATATCACAGAGAATAGAAAACGCAAAGAATCCTTCATATGCGCCACTCATTCTAGCACATTCCACAGGATACAGTATATTGATAAGCTCCCCCTGTGGCTGAAGCCTGTATCTGCTGCTGTGTGTCTCCACACCTTTGGCAGCCAGGGCCACTGTGGTCAGGTCTCTGGAAAAGTTGAGAAGCTCAGGGAAGTTCTGGCACATGGACTTGGCCAGAATGTGAAGGAAGGTGGATTTCCCGTCCACGGTTTTGGTCGTGCTCAGCTGCGAAAGGAAAAAAGGAAAGATTGAGACGCCCTGCGCTTCAGACTCTTCACTTCACTTCAGACTGCGCTGCACCTCTGTGAGAAAGTTGATTTTAAAACTGGTAGTTCTGTTGCTCTTTGGCTGACCGTTGTTCAGGTAGTTTCCCATGGCAAGAACAAACTGCACACAAAGAAAACGTCATTCAGTCTACGTATGGATGACTTTAAATTTTGTTTTGACCAAGTGTAACCTCCAGGATCTTGGCCAGTTTCTTGCTGCTCCTGAGCTCCACTGATGCCTTGTGGATGTAGTCAAAGGCCACTTTCATCTCTTCCATCTTCTCCTGCAGAGTGGTCTTGAAATGCAGACTCCTCAGACGTGTTTTGTACTCTGGGACTGTCAGCATCTGAACCAGAAACAAGACAAAACAAAATCCAGATGACTTTCAAATCTGCGGCAAGAGTTTAATATAAAGTAATAATTTAACAAATAAAAGCTTGTAGACCAGTCCAGTCATGGAAAAAGAACAGTATGCAACTTTCAAATCTCCAGAATATGCTCTATTCAGTAAGAAAAGTCAACTAGTTATTGGCCAAATAAAAATGTATTTCAATATTGAAGTATTTCATCACAAAAAAAACAAAGACCAACATACAGCAGACTTCTTTTCCTGAAAAGGATGTGTATAAACGTATTTGTTGAATACGTTTAAATGCACAAATCCAGCTTTTAACAATTACTTTAATAATAACAGTATCTTGCAATGAAGCGTTTATTTGTCACAGATAAAGTGGAAGTGAAGCCTCTTGAGAACCCGTTGGAGCCACTGGAGCCTAATAGATGTTTTTGGGAACACAGCATTTAATGATAAGAAACTAGACCTATTGGGCCTCATGTATGAAACTTGCGTACGGCCAAATCAGGGTGTAAATGAGGCGTACGCAAAATATTTACACTTTTCCACATTTATCAATCTGGACGTGAGCGTACGCCAAGTCAGGAGGTGGTGTAAATGTGTACGCTCCTTTCACCCTTCGTCACAATGCGCCAAAGCACGCATGAAATTCAAGATTTGGACAACAATAAACATGTTCCCACTCTGGCATAATTATAAGCTGTGTTTTCATGGAGCATCATGTTTCGGAATTTGAATTTGCGCATCAGAAAAAGTCTAACACTCTGGAAACACGCAAACTTCGAATAAATCACAGATCATGATGAGGAGCCTCTTCTGTTTCTATGATTTTAAATCTGACTTGTGTGTGTATTATTTTGATCTGTATGTTTTTAAAATGTGAAGCGCTTTGTGATCCAGGACTGTGAAAGGCTCTATATAAATACACTTTACGCGACAGGGATGTGTGACCCAGCTATTGCTGTGGCAGGCTCTGTGCTGCGTAATTACGCACGGCTATTTGTATTCCTCACATCTGGTAAAGCAATGTATGTTTTCATTAGATTTGTGTAAGCCTCACACAGACACACATCCCATTAACGCATGGACCGATGGACTATGGTATTGCTCACTGCAAATGTCTCACTGCCCTGTCCACCCGCTGCACACTCTTGGGAGTGCATCCACAGCAGGTGCTATTAGAGACGCGCCACATAACTCCTCAAATGCTGTCATTCAGAAGTCTTGGCTCCAGAGTTTCTCTGTAAAATCTGGACCGCTCTCTCAAGTGTTCATTCGTGCATTATTTGCATTCACAAGACGCTGCAGACGCTTCATTGATGAGAACCTCCGCTGCACAATATATATGAATTAATTCATTAATTCACTTCTACAACTCAAGAGAGATTTTTCTAATTTATCAAAACATTTTTGCAAATTTGTTTAAAATGCAGCTGAATATATACTGTAGCATATATTTATTTTTAAATAACTTGATAAATAAATTTGATTGATTGATTGATAACCATGAACAAACAAATGTGCCACAGGCCGTTTGACGCTTCCAAACAGTCTTTTTGGCCGGCTTCCTGCTGACCTGTTGCAAAAACAGGGCGTTTTACAGGCGTTCGTTTTCAGCTCAGATCTGGGCGCATCTCACACGTTCATAAATCCGATGTTGGATCTTGCGTAAATGGAATATACACCCAAAATAAACACCTTTTCCGCGCAACTTTCATACATGAGGGCCAATGTGTGTTATGCACGTCTCAGGTCCCTTCTTTCTCATTAATATTGACTTCATGAACGTTTGGCCAGCAGTACAACCATCGAGCAGCAAACACACTGCATCAATGAGGACTATGTAGACCAGACTAAACAAAGGTCAGAGTTCAAAGAAAAGAAAAAGAAAAACGAAAAGTTGGTTCCTTTGTTTGTAGTAAATGACCAAAGAATCTCATGTTGCAGTAATATTTCTAGCTGCGAGCGTCTCAGATAAGTGCCTCCGTGGGGTGAATGGCTGTTGGCCTCTCTCTCCCTGGCTCAGTACCTGGAAGATGAAGTGGTCAGGCTGGCTGAGTTTGCCCAGGTCCTGGTTGTACTGCTGGTACAGTGTGACCTCGTCCTCGTCTGGAGCGTACAGCAGCAGTTGTTTGATGTGGGCAGGCTCCAGGCGCTCCGTGCTCATGTTCATCAGGATGTCCCTCAGTTCCTCCGGCGACAGCTTCAGGTGGGCGATCAGGATGGCTGAAAACAACATTTACATAGTATTTTTACACATGTCATAACAGGCACGACATGAGCAGCTCTGTGCCCTCTGTTACATTCTGACTTTCTCTTTGTACTTGTGCCACAACTGTTTGGTGGTAAGCCATTTCGTGTCCATGTCCCTGTCATGTTTCTGAGGAGTGACATTGACTTTGTTCTAAAGGGACTTTCCATGTGACTAAAGTCTTTCTTTGATCCGTCTCATTTTAGCTGTCACTTCGGAATTTTTTGTTGCTTTTGTTGGGACTTTCTGTGTAGTCCAGTTTAGATCTTTAGCTTGCTTTGTTTTGTCCTTATCTAACTTATCATTTACATTACTATTATCCAATTACTACCATTTAACATTTTTAGTTTTTGTTGCCTCCCTCACCCGAGCTGGGGTGGGTCGTAACAGTTGTCATTTTTGTAGCCATGTCGTCTTTTCACCACTGGAAAGGGTCAAAACATATTTCTAACTTTCAAAATAAGGTCGACATCTTATCATCCAAGTGGAGGAACACATGTTTGTTTATATGTATACAAGCTATATGAAAGATCAGCATGTACACAAAGCCAAAACTTGATGGTAAAAGCTTCACTCTTGCTTGTCATGCTGTCATGCAAGTGTTGTTGTGTGCCTCCCTCTTCATCTGCCCCCCATGTGAGAAAAGGGCTATATTTGGTAATAAATAACGGTTATGTAAACTGAAATAAATGATCCATATATGGTAAATACATAACCCTATAATTTCATAATTCAATTGTATTGGAGTTTAATACTCACATGCGTTGTAAGCTTTCTTATGGGACAAGATCTCCACCACGTCTTTCTTTTTGAAATTCTCAGGCAAAAAGGCTGGCTCTGGAGGGGAGACTGAGCATTTTAACAAGAGTTTAACATGGGTTCATGGGGCACCAGGGGAACAATGAACTACAGAAGCTAACAACGAGCTGATAATGGATTTTACAACACAACTCCAGGGTTGGGACTGTGCTGTAGTGAGCAGGCGGGGCCCAACGAAGAAAAGATGAAACAGTGGACAAGACAACTGTGAACGCAGGCACAAGACAAGTGAGTCAAAAAAACTCTATTCTGGATGCACTTGGAGAGACACAAGGGACTTTCTTAAACTTTTAGCTGGGGTACACAACTTTCAAACCACAATAATGTGAACTATGTAATATTAAAATCAATCTAGTTCCTGGCTCTCAAAACTGTGCCATCATTAGTTTTCACAAGCAGAGATTTCTTTGGACTCTTTCACATCTTAAGATCACCTTTTTCAGAGAGAAGTATAAAGGAGAGAGAACCGTCCTACTCAGCCAATCAACAAAATTGTAAAACAGTGAGTCTTTCTTAAAAGAATGCAAAAGAGAACCGGTTTCCAACCAGATGAACACAGCATGCTGTTTTTTTCTCTTTTGGGAGAAGGAAGTTTATTGTTTAAGGGGAGATAATAGTTAAATACCCCAGCTTTCATTTTCCACATGTATTTTATATGAACCATGATGCATCACTGTCTCTTTCACATTGGGGCCAGTGCATTGTTTGACTTTAGTACACTATGGTAAACACACAACAAACAAAGACGAAGAACAACACATGCAACATTACGTTGTACGTGTGATGAATGTACAAAGAAATGCAAATGAATAAGCAGCAGACAAATCAAGCTTTCTGAAAACTCACTGCATCGTCGCTGTGTCCCAAAATGCAGGTCGAGGTCCATATATTTCACCATGTCTGTCAGCTTGTCATACTCGGAATCCTCTCCGAGCTGAAACAAAGGCACAAGATAGGGCACAATTTACAACACAACTCATCACCATGGTGACGGAGTGGATGAGTTGCTCTGGTGGCCGTGTGGGCGGGGCGTGAGAAGTCCTGGTCTGGGTGGTGATTGGTTGAGATTGTTGGAGCTCACCTGTCCCCAGATGGTGCCCTCAGAGTTCTCCACCTGCTCCCAGCGCAGCCTCTTCACGCTCATGTGGCTGGGGTCAGAACCGTGTCCCGGCCCAGGCAGGGGAGGGGGGTTACACGGAGGGAGGGGAGGTGGAGGAGGAGGGGGAAGCGTCTGTGTCAGAGAGGGGTGAGAAATAACATAAAAAAGACTTGTAAGAAGGAACCCAGGAAGAGCTGAGAGCTGTTCTGAGAATTAGAGGGATTTTATTACAGTCACATACTTTGTAGTATGAGATACTCCAGTTTTAATATATCATGAGTTATATTTATGCAGATATCCACAAACATACAGAATTTTAGTCCCTATGGACATGTGAACTAAAAAAGTGTGAATTAAAAACTACTAGCAATTGTTTTTTGCTCGGTTTTTACCAGCTTCGCCAACTTCTGTTTCACAACTGTTTTAAAAACCTATTCATTAATTATATACAGTTTGTACAAGACTCTTTTCTGTTCACTTTCTGTTCGCACATTACACACTTCAGTGTTCACACTGAACATACAACGACTAAGACTACCTCACAAAGTGGTTTAAAGTTGTTTGGACGCCCCAGCCCATGATGCTCAATGTGAGAGGAGGAGGCATTCCTGGATATGACCCTACAGAGTAGAAACAAGCCTGCTGGAGGTACCTGCGGGGGGGGCTCCGGGCGGCTTTCGTACGTCTTGCCGTGACTCTGACTCTGCGAGGTGCAGTGGTCTTTGAGGGAGGGGGGCAACGGGCCTTGATAGCTGTGCTGGTGGTGGAGCTGGTGGTGGCGCTGCAGCATTGCCTGACTGGGCCGCAGAACCTGTGGGGAGGGCTGGGGGGAGGTGGAGGAGGGGTGGAGCAGTGGCTGCGGTTGGCTCAGCTGCCGGGGGAGGTAGCGGTTGGGATGCGTGGTGCGGAGCGTGCCGTGCCCTTGGGAGATGCGTGTGGTGGGCTGGAGGCGGGGCTTCTTGTCACCGCTCTTGTGCAGGGGGGAGCGGCTGGTGAGGAGAGTGCGGGGTGGCGGGGGGAGGAGGGGGGATGATGGGGTGGTGCGGCTGGAAGGGCATGCGGCTGCGGGGCACATGCTCCGGGGAGAAGCGTGCGGGCGGAGAGGGGTCTGTGAACTGAACCGGGGGAGGGATGAGGGATTGGTAGGGCGGAGGGGGAGGAGGGCTCTGGGTGGGGGGAGGAGGGATGGGCTCTCCCTCGTCTGAGAAGGTGGGAGAGGGTGCCTCCTCGCCGCTGCTGTGGACCTCGCTGCTCTCACTGCTCAGCTGCCGTGGCACAAAACCCCCGTCCTGTTCCTCGGGGAAACTCATCTGGAAAAGAGACACCACTTTTTCACATGGGCTTCTTCCCCCGGTCAGGACTGAACAGTTAAAGCTGGGGTACATCACTTTTTCAATGTCTTTGTCCCAACACAAGAGTCTTGCATAATAACATTTTGTGAACACAACAGACCACATCAAGCTGTTCTTATAATTTGTTAATGTGAAAGTCACTATTCTCAAAAATTATGTTTATTTTGACAATAATTTGTGAAAGTTAGGTACCCCAGCGACAGTGTGTCAACTGCAGTAGTTCATGGAAGTGCAACGTAACAGTCCTTTGCCTGTAATTTTATATAATATTGTTGAAAAACGTACAAACATTTCCATGAAGACATGCAGGACGAAATGGACAAATACAATCCCGATCTTTACCAACATTAGTTAAATACAATAAAATATAAACTTATATATAAACTTATATGACCAATCATAAAGTTGGTATAGGCTACAGAATGCTTTTAGAATACATGTGCTGCCTACACCACCTTTGCAGAGCATTCCAAAAATATCAAATACAAACTTACACCAGGAAAACATAAAATATTAAAAGGTAGGGCTTCACAATGTATTCATATTATCTTAAAGGTTAGTTCAGGTGTCCATTCAAACTTTTTATTTTTAATTGAGATTGTCAAATTAGTTTAGTTCTAATATTGTGCAGCCCTAGACTATGTCTTACAATACATGACAAAAATCAAGATACCCCTAAACACTTTGGTTGCTGCTCTGCATGTTTTCAAACTACACATGCATTTGCAGAACTATGCAAGTTGTATGACCTTTAAAAAAGCAATGCTCAAACTGGATGTTATTTATGCGTTTACACAAACACAGATGGCCTTGGTTCTATGCTCATCGGCAGCAGCCATGCACAGCGCCGCGCCTTTACTCAGGCACATGGAGTATAAATAGTTCTGTGTGGAGGTTATGATTTACTTACTGGTACACCTCTTCTTCTGAAACCATGACAACCACCTTGATAAATCTGTTTGTGTGACACAAGTGGAGCGCAATTTAGAGCTCCACTAATAGAGTTGTCCTAAACTACAACAACATGCAACATGTACAAGTGATTACCACGGCTAAACTATCAGCCCCTTATCACAATCACTACAGAAATTCAGCCTGCATCAGTTTGAGAACCCCTTGGCGTAAAAACAAGTGGCTGGAAAATGAATGACTCATTTACTGAAATCATGTGGGAACTATCTTTGCACAAAAAAAGATCAAACTCTAAAGTTGCCTACATGTTCTTTGGTGATGTAAAAGGAGTGTATCTGGGGGTTGGCTCTTTCACAGCTGAAAATATGCCTGAAAATTAGATGACCCTAACCCTCAGGGACCTGAAAAATACATGTCGTTGCCTAGCTTCTGTCAGTCTGCCCCAGGGCAGCTGGTTGTGGCTACAGTAGTAGTTTATTCTCCTCAGGTATTAGAGTGAAATACTTTAATCATGTGAGGAATCTTTAAGTGTCCAAAAAGGCCAACTTAAAACTGCTATTTATGTTAGTAAGCTTGGAGTTCAAAGCTGATTCTGATTCACCCCAGAAAGTTTACTTTGAAATCAGAGAAATATATTTCTATAATTTCCAGGAGTTTAGTGGTTCTATGAATAAAAAGTAGTGCTGTCCAACAATTAAAATATTTAATCGCGATTAATCGCATGAATTTCATAGTTAACTCGCGATTAATCGCAAATTAGTCACACATTTGTATCTATTCTTTATGTCCCTTGAATTATCATTTTAATACTACTAAAAAGTGAATAGGCGTGCTGTGTGCAATTGCTTTTTTAAATATTTTGTAAATTTGTTCATGTAAATACTCTATGCTGTTTCTCTGTTTACTTTCGGTATATCTATGACTGTATACTGTTTGCTTGTATTGCCTTTTTTATTAACCCCTCCCCCCCATCTCCCACTTCATGTCCCCCCCCTCCTATGTGCCCTTCTGGGTTTCTTCTTTGGCCCCCTGTATCTCCAACTACATATTGTTTGTAATCTCTGTCTACAATGTATCTGAACTAGTCCTTTTCTTTGTTTCTATTTTTTTTTTTTTTTTTTTTTTATCGCGCGATAAAAAAAATGACGCCGTTAATATTGATTTGCGTTAACGCGTTAATAACGCGATATTTTGGACAGCCCTAATAAAAAGCTAAGTGCAGACTACCCAGCCATGGCACTTTGGATCCTGAATGCACCTGTTCTTTCTGGAGATTTGTCAATGATAAATGAGTCTGTGTGCAGGCCTGTAACTTTCAATATTTTGCCCCTTCACCTCTTCGTAGTCGTTCTCCTCCACCCCGTCCACCAGCGTGACTCGGTGGCCCAGCTGCTCGCTCAGGGCGTCCAGGAACTTGTCAGTGTCCCGGCTGCGTGGCGGCCTGGAGAAGGTGAACAGCTTCTTCCTGCGGTTCAGCGTGTTGGGGGCCGTGTCGCTGTTCGGGTGCGAGGGTGAGGCAGGGGGGCTCTCCAGGCTCACATAGGGGTTTGAGTCCATGCTGCTCTGGTGGTGCAGGCCGTAGACCTGAGAGGGCAGAGGCTCCTTCCACGACAGGGACAGGCCTGATTTACGGCTGCCTGCGGTGGGGAGAAGTGGAGATATGGGTTGGGAAGATGCAGACAGACATAATGATCAAATTATGGATTGTAGACAATAATAAGCTTGACAAACTAGCTTATCAATAAACTTTATGTAAAGCTTAGAAATAATATAGATAGTAGATAAAAATACAAAACGTATAATGTAATTTATGGTGCACAGGGACTGGCCTCCTGCTGGTGCCCAGAGTCAGAACAAACATAAGGAGGGAAAATTTAAGATCTATGCAGCAAAGAAAAGGTGAGACAGGCTTCTACTCTGACAATGTTAAAATCCAAGTTAAAAACAGTAATTTCTAGCTGCACAAATAACTGACAAACTTGACCAAGCTCATGTATGCAAGCACTGACCACGGGTTTAATGTGTGCACCTGTGCGGGCTCATACCCAGTGTGCCCTTGAGCGGGGGCAGGGTGAGGGGGGACAGGGGGCGGCTGTAGCTCTCTGGCTCTCCTGTGGAGCCATGCAGCGGAGACGAGTCCTTCTTCCCCGGGTACACACTCTCCAGCTCTGTGTAAATACCTGTCATCTACGGGCGGAAGCATGTAGGCGGTTAGCAATTAGCGCATGCGATTGGAAGTAGATGGCTTTTGAAGGCTGCTGTAAAGAATCACTCCACATTCTTGGCATTTCACCTCTAATATTCAATTAATAAAACCAATAAGTGTGGTTTAAAAATGGGGAATAGTTTCTATTGTAATTTCAATTTTAATGAAAGGAAAGAAGGTTATTCACTGAGGAGGTCTGCGCTCTATAGTTACTTCTCTAGTTAATATCTTCAACACAATACAATATCTTTTGCTGCCTGCTTACATAGATTTCTTCCAGTATAATACTTCATTTTACACCTCTCCTCAGTCAGCTGCTGTTTGACTGACTGGTGATGTTATTTTGCAAATGTCCCATAAGGCATTCAAGTCTAAGGATTTGCCACAGCACATTTAGGAACATGCAGTTATTTCTAAAACAAATAAATCTTGCATATGTTTTTTTTTATTAAACTTGATTAGCTGGCGTATCTCATCCTCAAACAACCTCATTAAACATGGCCATTTGAACAAAATGCCAAAAGTGGATTGAGCAGGCCTTCAAACACGGCGCAGGAAGCACAGGGCAGACACTTGTACCTACATGATTAAGGTCAGGGGACTCTGGGAAGGACGTCCCATCTCCAGACTGCCTCTCCTCCGAGCTCTCCGCTTCGTCCAAATGAATTCCTACATCACAATAAGGCTTGATGGATGACACAGATACTTTCTTTCATCCACCTCCACGAGGGAAGATGAAAAAGCATGGGCCGATGAAGCCTTAAAAGCACTTCCAAAACTATAGCAGACATTATCGCACTAAAAACTACCTTATAGTACCTAAGTGTGCTGACCATTGCAAACACAGCCTCGCAATACTAGGCTCTACGGGACGTTTGAAGAAATCAGCGTTTTTCATTTATGACAAGGGATTTTCACCCAGCAGCGCACTATACAAGAAGAGCAGGCTGTGTTTTGGTCATGTGCTCCATTAAAAAGTATTGTTCTCATAAAGTTGCTGTGGCCCGTACCCATCCCCAGGTGAGTGCCGATGATGCAGTCGTCGGAGCTCCGGTCTCGCACGCTGCCCCGGTACGACGAGCTGCTGATGCGCATAGAGCTGCTCCGCCTGTGCAGCTCAGGACCGTCGGGATCCAAAATGGCTGCGGAGAAGCAAAGAAAGTAGATTTATTTGGCTATGCCTGAGAATGTTAGTGTGCATTTATTGGACTGTTGTGCTGTGCTCTTCGGAGACTTGCTTCAGAATCTAAATGTAATGAGTTTGCACAATTTTTCAATGACAAGGTTCAGAGCATCAAAAACGCCATCACCTCCAAGGCAGAAATAACATTACAACAGCCGGTGAGGCTGTTTGAGCTATCGCACTTTGCACCAACAGATAATGAAACTGTCCAAGATGTTGTCTCTAGCCTTAGTTCCTCCACATGTAGCCTGGATGTACTACCCACTAAATTTTTTAGGTCTGTTTTGAGCAGTCTTTTACCTTTGCTCACACAAATAGTGAACATGTCTCTCTCATCTGGAACATTTCCAATGGCCCTGAAAACGGCAGTCATCAGACCCCTCCTAAAAAAGAGGAGTCTAGATGCCACAGTTCTTAAGAATTATCGCCCCATATCAAATCTGCCGTTTATGGGAAAAATTCTGGAAAAAGTTGCTTACCAACAACTTACAGAATTCTTAGTAACTAATAGTTCCTTTGATGCGCTCCAGTCCGGCTTTAGAGCCAATCACAGCACTGAGACTGCACTAGTGAAGGTTACAAATGACATCCGACTTAACACCGACACAGGAAAAGTCACAGTTTTAGTAATGTTGGATCTGAGTGCTGCGTTCGACACAGTCGACCACGAGATCCTCATGCAGAGACTAGAGCACTGGGTGGGTGTCACTGGGACTGCCCTAAGTTGGTTTAGGTCTTACCTAGAAGACAGGAAATACTTGGTTCAGATAGGAAACTGTGTCTCAGATCATATGGCTCTGACCTGCGGAGTGCCACAGGGATCAATTCTGGAGCCTCTTCTGTTCAATATTTACATGCTGCCATTAGGTCAGTTAATACGCTCCAACAATGTATCCTACCACAATTATGCTGATGACACTCAAATTTATGTCTCACTTACTGCAGGAGAACATGGACCAGTGGAATCACTCCTTCACTGTACTCAACAGATTAGTGATTGGATGCAAAATAACTTCCTTCAGCTAAACGCAGACAAAACAGAATTGATTGTCTTTGGTCCTCAAAACAAAGAGAGAGCGTTATTCGTCACCTCCAGTCTCTCTCCCTGGAACCTGTAGGCAAGGTCAGAAACCTAGGAGTTATAATGGACTCAGACTTAAATTTTAACAGTCATATCAAATCAGTAACATCAGCAGCATTTTACCATCTGAAAAACATTGCCAAAATTAGAAACATAGTGTCTAAATCAGATCTGGAGATTCTCATCCATGCATTTGTCTCCAGTAGGTTAGACTACTGCAATGGCCTGCTCACAGGTCTGTCCAAACAGGCTGTAAAACAACTGCAGTATGTCCAAAATGCTGCAGCTCGAGTCCTGACCAGGACCAGGAAATATGACCACATTAGTCCAGTTCTCAGGTCTCTGCACTGGCTTCCTGTGGCGCAGAGAATAGACTTTAAAACAGCACTGCTTGTGTACAAGTCTCTCCATGGCCTCGCACCAAAGTACTTAAGCGACTTGTTAGTGCCATATGAACCGGCCCGGACTCTGAGGAGCACAGGAGGTAGCCTCTTACTGGTTCCAAGAGTCAGAACTAAACATGGGGAGGCAGCGTTTGAGATTTATGGAGCTAAAATCTGGAACAATCTTCCTGAAGATGTGAGGCTAGCATCTACTCTGGCAATTTTCAAATCAGGGCTAAAAACTATTCTTTTTAGCTGTGCATACGGCTGAAGGATTTTATTGATACATACTCTTTTTTTTTTTTTTTTTTTTTTTTAATGCATTGTGGTTATTTATTATTTTAATCTTGTGTGTGCTTTTAATATTTTAAGGTTATCTTGTGATTTTATTCTGTTTTTAATGTATTTATTGTTTGTATATGTAGTTTTTGATGTCTCTGATTTGTCTGATATTATGTGGGTTGTGAGGCGCTTTGAGTGGCCTTGTGTTAGAAAGGCGCCATACAAATAAAGTTGATTGATTGATTGATTGATTGCTAAAATGGGGCAAAGCAAATAAAGGTGCAATTGCTTTAACAGGAAATATGGATTTAGACCAATTTTTTGAATGTGTAACACATTGAAGCTGTAGAGCCCAACTTTTTCATAAATAATAAATGGTGTTTGTTCCAACAGAAAGAGTCTTGTAGAAGCAAAATTTAAAAGCTTTATCTTATTAGACAACATAATAAAAAATATCATTTTTATAGCGCTTTTCATGATATCCAAAACACTTCACATGGCATTATTCTTCCACTCCATAAACAATGGTGATAAACTTCTGTTTAGACACAGTAGACTGTAGACACAGCTGCCCTGGGGCACACTGACAGAAACGAGGCAACAAATATGTGCCATTTGCCCCTCTGACCACCACCAATCATTGTGGGTGAAGTGTCCTGCCTAAAGACACAGCAACATTTTATCTCCCATCACACTACTTACTAGGCCCTACCCTGCTTAACCTCTGAGGTCTGATGGGACCAGGCTTTCACATCAAGGTAACACAAAAACATGCAGCACTGTCGCATACTGTCCTGTGAGTCACTAATACTAAAGATCTGACAGTAGGCCAAATGCATCTGCATTAGGTCCATGGATTCTATTCTATGGATCCTTGTTTAATGGGGAACTTATTACGTTGTATTTATAGAGTTGTAAGTTGTCTAGTCTCAAAAAAAAAAAAAAAAAAGGATTTTACTCCAAAGTCCTTCAAAACGACTGCTACTGGCAAGAGCTGCTTCATTTCTTACTCATGTCTAGTGACTCACCGCTGCTTTTGAAACCCAGAAAGCGGGACAGCTTTGTCTGGCAGCGACCCTGTTCTTCGTAGGTCAGGAGCTGATAAATGAACTGCCAGATGAGCTGCTTGGCTGGCGTGTCCAGCACTGGAAAGACGTCCACTATCAAGGTGTCCACATTCCTGCAAACAAATATATTTAGCTCAATTACACGGAGACTGGAGTTTGTTTATCTTGTAGTCATTCGAAGAAGCAGCGCTCCTACTGACATTTGTTTACCTGGGAATGTGCTTTAATCTATGCTTAAAGGTGGCTTCTGTGAGCCCACCTACATAAGCTGCTCCTCTGCATCTATTTCATCCTCCTTCAATCCCCTTTGCTTTCCTCTGCAGTGGAACAACTCCCTCCAATGCAGTATACTGTAAGAGTACACTTTCCACAGTAACTGCTGACTCCTTGAAAACTTTTTTACTGTCAACTGACTGAAGACAAAAACTTTTTTTGACAATGTAAGGAAATTACTTATTATTGCAGCATCTTGTCAGGATTTACTCACAAGAAGCTGAGATGTAGATTGGACTTACCGGTGTTGAAAGAATGTCTCCAGCGCTTTGCAGACAGTGTATCGCTCCTGAATGGTCAGAAGGTGCTCCAGCTGTTGGCTGAATGTGCGGCCGTGAACTTTGATGCTCGGGGGAAGTATCTCTGCGACCCACTGCAGGGAGCTGAGGGCTGGAGATCTGCGAGACGGATGGAAGGTTCAAATCACTAATCTCTTTGAACCACGGTTCAAACAGAATAGTGTTTACCGTGGGAATGTGCTAGTGTTATCATCTTGATAATATAATGTTGCCCCCAGAAAGTGTGTTGAGCAAACACCTTCATCTTGCATAGTAGTTAAAAAGTCATATCATATTTCAGCTGACCAATGGCTTTATGTGTTTTTTATAATTGCACTTCTTGTGTTTGAACTGATCTGTATTGACAAATTCAACGGTTTTGTAAAGTCCTCCGAGATAACTACTGTTGTGATATAGCGCTATACAAACATAAATTGAATTGAATTGAAGTGAACTGTATCTGTATAGGTTTTCTCTGAGAGCATGTTATTTAATTATATGGCCTCATTCCGCACCTGTGGACTGTCCTGGCCGGACTCATGGGCTGCACACCCCCCCGCTTGGGAGTTTTCTCTGTCCTGGTCATGGCGTTGATCATCGTTCTACAACCTGAGACTGGATCTACAGCCCGTTCGTTCCTGGGAGCAGTGCCCGAGGTTTCACAGCAGTGATGTCCATGGGCAAGGGTCATTTATGGATATTGGTAATCTTCCCTTTATGGACCAATGGCTATATGTCTTTAGGGCTAAACAAAAATAAATGGTAATTTGATTTTAAATGACGCCTGTGTCCCCAGGTAATGGGTCAACATGTAAAAATCATAGTTGACCTTTTCTGAAGAAAAGTTTAATGTGGAGTTCTTCTTGATTACGAATATAATTTACATGATAGCCATAATATGTATGTTTATTTTAAGATTTTTGTTTGTTTTATGAAACAAACTTTATAAACAAAAATAGTTGGACAAATTTGTTTCAATGAAAGCAGATACAAAGATAGAAAGTCATACATAACACAGAGTTTGTACCGATTTTAGCTAAACTCCAGCAGATGGATTGCATCAGTAATCAGTGCTTAGGAGCTACATGTGTCACAGGAGATTCTGTCAACAAAAGATAGATTGTAAATGTGGTGACTGGTCTCCAAATTCAAATAAAAAAATAAAGATATAGCTACTGCATGTGAAGACGAACGATGTGCTAAAGGCTGTGACAAACATCCATTTCCTAATTACAGGAGTTAGACAAACTCCCTGAACTAATTTATAGCACGGATAGACAATATATAAACAGAAAACTGCTGATCAAAGTATATTGGATTCTTTCCACCAAAGAATATTACCTCTAAAAAAGGTCTGCACTGACACTGCAACTTTTAGGGACTCTGTGATCCATCAACACTTCGAGAACAATGGCTCTTTGGAAAGAAGACAATTACTGAGAGTCACCGTAGCTATTCTAACAGAGAGAGTCTTGGACGTCACACTGATACAAACCTGGAGCGTGGGAGCGTGCTGGTGGCCACCGGGCTGGGCGTGTCCTCTGTCACTGTGTGTTCTGGAGAGTAATCTATGGAGCCTGCCTCCACAACCAGCGTGGGTGCTGCTCCGCTGCCCTGGAGCATGGACACCACCTTCTCATGAGAGCAGTTCCTACAGACACAAATGTTCACAGAAATCACTGACATGAAAGGAAAAAGGGATTTATGACTGAACATTTTCTCATTTCTTTCCAGCTTTTCTCCCCGCTCAAATACTCACATATTAAGTATTGATCTGATATCTGTTTCACTGATTACCAACAGCTGCCTTGACATTGTGAACTCTAAAATAATAATACATAATAACACTAATCAGATGAAATCTTTCCACTCATATCACATTAGTTATATTTGATGTCGCACTTTTGTTGGATCGTGTGATTAGTTACCTAATACATTTGATTTTATGTTCAGTCTAATCTCCCACACCTTTTAAAATCGTGAAAAGTCAGAAAGTTCAAAAGTCTTTCGATGAAGTTTACAGAACTCCTACAACATCAAAGTTCATATTATGTAATCATTTTTTCTCACATGGAAATCTTGTGCACCTCAAAAAGCATAACATTGTTGCCATTTCATATTTTCATCAACAAGTATTTATTTTGGTACAAGATATGTTAAAGCCTTTTTAACAGATCCTTTTAGTCATTGATCATACATTTCTTCTCCAAAGTGATAGAAAATCCTCAAAAACGTTCATCTTTTGTGATGTAAGTTTTTCAGTGGCTGCTATTTTCAATTGTGGAAATCCTGTCTGCTTCAACCCACACATCACATAAAGTACAGCACTTAATATTATGGCTTTATCCATCACAAAACACACCTCATATCGAGTCCATTGAGAAAGAGGATTTTGTCGCCAGTTTTCAGACCACACTCTTCAGCGGGACTATCTGAAAGGCAAAGGTGACAGACAGCCATAAATATGCCATTGGAGGAGAGCATCGCTAGTCCAGGTCTGGTGAGGTAAGAATGTACGACTATACAGACAGGCAGCAGAAAATGACACTAATAAGATTCCGGCAATCTGTTTGTGTAAGGGTAGAATCAAACATCAGCAAACTAAAGCCTGTTGCATAATGTACAACTGTCAAAACAGGCCCTGCGGAAATCATGGCGACGGCAGCCTGTCCTCCAGATCTGTCACCCACTGCAACCAAAACTTTGAATGGAACACAAATTTCACCCAAAGAAACAGTATCATTAAACGTTTGCAGACAAAAAAGCCGCGTTCAACCTTAGATGAATTTTACACATAAACGTTCTACTATTTTATTACTCTACTATCTCTGTACATGGGACTGTGCAAGACTACCCAGTGTGCACCAGGAGGGAACACACAACAACTCTTGCCACAAAGCCCCTACTGTACTTCCGACGACTTGCGCGAGCATCTCTTTGTATTGAGACTGTTTAACCATTTCTAACCCTATACAAATAAAAATGCATAAATGAACATGAAAATACCATATTTGAGAATACATTTTCCTCTCTTTAAGGTTATTTAAACCAGACTGTATAATTTCTGACAAGCCATTGCATTTTCTGGGACAGACAGGGATAGAATCTATGAAATATAACCTAACGCTGGTTAAAAGACCAGGCATTATCCAGTACAATGAAACACTAATCATTTATAACAAAGCTGGGGGGCCTAATTTTCTTTGTAATCATTTTTTTCTAACTAGTTCCTCACTCTCAAAACAGGTTAGTTTGATAAGATAGAAGAACCTTTATCACTAGTTTTCACATGCATATATTTTTTGGCCACATCTATAAATTAGCTTTTCCAGACACTCGGCCAATCAGCTCTCAGCCCAAAGAGAGAGCTGATTGGCCTAGTGTTACTCCCTCAAGTATGCAAAAAATAACATGCATTCTAATAAGATGAAGTCAGCGTGTTGTGGTCAGATTTTTTCCTTTATTTCTATTTCTCTAGAGACAAATATAATTTATTATTGAAAAGAAAGTTAGGCACTGAGCTTTAACTGATTTAAAACACTGGCAGGTCCCCCTTCTTGATAATACGGTAATATGCTCCTCTGCAGGGTCATACACATACAGTACGTTGTTGCCGAACATTCTCTGCACCGATCACGACGCTAGCCCCCCCTGTTTCTCAGCAGCCTCCATACGGCCCACTGAGTCAGGCTCCAGCCCGGGAGAGTGGGCGGGAACAACGGCGTCATCCTCCCACGCAAACACAACCCCAACAAAACAAATCCACTCAACTTTACAGCCTCAACAACAAAACTGAACTGATGCACTGCAATGACCACGTCCAAATTAAACTTTCATTAAATCTCACGCATAAGTTGCTTAATAAATGCATGTAGCGCAAGTGTTATTAACAGAAAAGGATGCAAATAAATTATTCATAGTCTCAATTTTTGGATTAGACAATAGCCAACACCAGTTTGTATTAATGACCACAAGATGCTCTCTTCCTCAATACGCATGGAGGTGTTAGCAGTACTCATTTTCACCTGACAATCACAGGTGTGTCAAATATACCGTCCATCCATCCATTTTCTGTTGACCGGTCGCGGGGGCAGCAGGCTAAGTAGAGACGCCCAGACTTTCCTATCCACACACACTTCCTCCAGTTTGTCCGGGGGACCCCAAACCGGGGGCTCCTCCCGGTGGGACGTGCCGTATTTAAATCTCCAATACTGGAGATTTAAATAGTGGATTCAAATACCGGATAAAAACACTGGATTAAAATACTGGATTAAAATACCGGAGGTTTAAATTGCGCTTTAAAATACCGGATTAGAATACTGGATTAAAAAAACTGATCAATATACCAGATTAAAATACCGGGTTGAAATACTGGCGATTGAAATACCGGATTGAATTACCATATTAAAACATTGGATTTAAATACCAAATAGAAATACCGGATTGAAATACCGGAGATTTTAAATACAGGATTAAAATACCAGATGAAAATGCTGGATGAATATACCGGATTAAAATACTGGATTAAGCACATGGGAAGCACACTGAACATTAGACAGAGGACATTGTAGTGATCAGCCAAAATCTGCTCAGAATTCAATTGTGACTAATTAATCAAAGAGTACATGTGGTTGCTGAATTATAGTCATAATGGACAACAGCAAATACATTACACTGTTCTTATTAGTTAAATTGCTAAATGTGTGTTGATATGAATAGCCTGACATAAAAAAACAATAATCTGGGAATAGCATAAAAAGCAACTCTTCATCACAATCATTCAAAGTGAGTGACCTTCACACAGAATATATCTGGACTAAAGGGATGTGGACAAAGGCTTTGAATGGCTGATCCCAATTAAACTACGTTAATAGCATTTAGAAAGACAATCCCAAAATGCACAGTTGAATACATAAACAATTACATCATCAGTGCTGGGTAAAGTGGTATGTTTTCCGCTACAACAAAAGGAAGGCTTGACTCATGAGCTGTTGTACTATTGTTGCTCAGTCACATGTTTGAGGAGAGAGATGTTTACATAACACTTGGACAAAAGGTCTACATTCGAAAGCCGTTCTATCGATTGTAAGTGTGGCTGCTCTGCTCAGTGATGTGAGTCAGACGCTCACATATCAGTGCGTGTACATGAGCGAGCCACGGTGCGCTCCAACAAAAGGTACTGGCTTTTTGGGTCAGACGGAGTGTTCTGGTGGTGGGCGACAGTACCTGGGATGACAGAATCAATGGAGACAGGAGCGTGTCCTCGCAGCGTGAAGCCAAATGTCTTTTTCCCCCGGTACACTCGCACGATTCTGAAAGACACGAGACGAGATTGGTGAGACAGTGAAAGAGCACAAAAAGGGCTTAAAAAATATGTAATTATAAGAAAGACTTTTCTGGAAGATCAGGTCGTTGGGTGAATTACAGCAGAGGTGTGCGGTGACTAATACATCTCCTTTGCCCATATCATTCCCCATTTATTTTAACACTGCACTTTACTGCTGAATCGAGTTCCACAGACTGTAAACTGGACTTTCTGCATCTGCATACAAATATATGTATTTGTTATTCCTTCATGAACACAGCAACATGGAAAAGTTTGAGTGAATTTAAAAGTAAGAATTTCGTTCTGAATTTTGTTCTTCAAATGGGAATAGTGATTTTCTCTCGATGAGGCCACATTTATTATGTTTACGTTAATGTTCAAGCATCAATTGGAAAGCAGACTTAGCATCACTCGCCTGTATGAAATGATCTATATAAATAAAATGTCTTCTTCGTTTGGGTTGCAGAAACGTGTGTGTAGTTTTTAGGCAGGGACAATGGGAACAAAAGTTTGGATTGTGATTTTAATATATATTAAACCAGATTTTGTGTGTGTGAAAACTATTGATGGAACCGAACTGAACAATGAACAGATATTACAATCCTGGTGACTTTATTGATGCAGAGGGAAACACATTTATCTATATAATACATTTTAAGTAACTCAATGTGATTTCTAGTCAACTCTAGCCGCTAAGAGCTTCTAAAATTCCAGGTAAAATAAATGCATTTACCTTTTAGAAGAAAATGAATATAGTTGAATTTACAGAGAATCTGTGAAACTCCAGTGAATCATTTTCCTTTTCTATACTTGACCTATTCTAATTGTCACTGCATAATTCAACTGGCAGCCCATTCTGAAAAGCATCATTGTCATCGCATTCATTGACACTTCATAGTCATTTCTGAATTGGCTGGTGCGTATTACAATAGAAGCCGAGCAGATAGAGTTCACCAGGGACCACATGAGTCTGCGATGGTGAAGGAGCAGCTGGCTCGGAGGCCTGCGCACTTCTGTTCTGTTGTTTTTGCTCGTCACTTCCTGTACGTGGGAATCTCACTGAAGAGAGACGAAGCTCGCCTGCTGTCGGCAACATGACGGACAATTGGGAGCTTCAAAGCACACAAATAAAAACAGCCATTGAGTCAAGTAATTTCCCTTGTGGATCAATAAAGTTTGTCATTACAGACAGACTCAGCCTTTACAAAGTTAAGGCGATTACTGCACGCAGTGCCCAATCTGAGAGCTTCCTGGTAGGGTTTATTTTTCTCTTCCCCAAAGGAAATCTTTTCATCTTACATAAATATCACAGCTTTTTCAAGTTTTTCAGAAATGTGATAGACGAAGAGATAGACTTATAACAAGAACATGAGTGTCTGGATATTGTTTGTGGGAAGCAAGGAGTAGGGACTCCTGAAGAAGAGCTACTGTAGTACAGTATGTCAGTAGGTAATGGGGATCTAAATAAAAACAAACCAACAACAAACTGCTTTGGCAGCTAAAAGATTAACAATTAAAAACATCAGAAAAGTGATACATTTTTTGCTTCACCATATAATCTTACTGCTGCAGCTTTTGATTCTGATTGAGAAATTCTAGAAAGATTCAAAATAAAATGTTTTAAAATATTGTGATATCCATTGGCTGTATTTTTAAGAACAAACAATAATATTTTAGCAAGTATTCATTTTGTGAAACAAAAGCTTCTCTTCATTTTTCGTACATATTTTTCTTTTATTCAGTTTTGTTGTTGATTTAAGTTGTCCTCTTTCTGTGTTATAAGTTTCTGGGCTCCACCATTTGTCTGTTTCACATGAAGTTTCTGAAAGGGTTCACATGCAAACGGTTTATTTGTGCTGAAGTCTTGAAACCCTCACAGCATCTAGCCGCAGGAGGTTGCCATAGCGATGAATAGATGACTAGTTGTATGTAAACAGGCTGAGACTAAAAAAGACGAGGAGGTAGCAAAAATAGACGAGTCAATTTGCCGTTACATTTGTCTTATGTAATGGCAGTTCAATCGCTAGGGTGGATGGGGTGTTCTGAGCAGATATAACCGAATGTGCGGTTTTTCTGAAAGCACAATTGATTTGAAAAAAAACTGCAGCATGAAAGGACTACAATTTAAGAGACAAACTTAGATTCAGATTAAAATTCATTTTATTTGCCATTTGCCAGTTATCCTTACGAGAATAAGGCAGCGATACAATCCTGATAGAAGAGGTGCTCTGTGCTCATTGCTTTGTGGCGTTTCTGCTTCTTTAGTCCGAAGCCATTAACAGGAAGGAGCGTAATTTCTCAAACCTCCTTAAGGTTGACCCATGAACTAAAGAGGGAAGGAGGTATTTTTATCGATACTCGGCTGGAGTGTCCATTTCTATTTGCACATTGGGATTCCTAAGTACTTTGTATTGAAAAAGAGTAATCATTTGAAGTCGCTGTGTGGGAGTGTACTACCACCAGAGTGATCCCATAATAAGCCCTGGTGACGTGTCATTAATTGGCCAGGAAGTAGGAGGATAAGGGTCATGGACAGACAAATAAGGGGTTAACATGGAACCACGTCTGGCCATTTCTCCAGTTTTATATATCGTTGTGTATGGCTCAGAACAACCAATGTGAAAGATCTCCAAACTGATAATTGTGCCACACATTTCATTTTATTTGTTCATCTACTGTACTTAATAATGCAGTATAATATGGGAAGGAGACCAGGCAGTTAGCTGGTCAGATACAGAGCAACTAAATCTATTTACCGGTAATGACACAGATTTAATGATTTCAAACACATAATGTTTTTACGTGTAGTGATGTTTTAGTTAGATGTATGTAGTTTTAGTAATTGTCAACTTATATCAAATAATCATTAACTGCTGTACATTCCAAAACAGGATGTGATTTTAAGACACAAATAGAGCAGTGTTACATGTGTAAATGTATTGTAATAAATATTTTCTCAAGTTGCATCACATCAGCTTTATCAAATCAGATTTCAATCCAATCGTATATTAGTCCAAACAACAAATTAATCAAAAGAATAATTGTGGGCCGCAAAAATCTGCATAATTGTATGTATATCTATATTTGGGTTTAGAGAATTTGATGCTCATAGTAACTTTAGGTATGACTTTAGCATCCTTCCCTTTTGCCACTGTAGAAACTCACCTCTGATTGGGTCCCACTGGAGGATGTGGCATCCCCGGCACAGACTTCTTGTGCCGCCGGTCTCTGTCTGGGCCCCTCTCCCCGGGCTCGGCTCCATCTCGTGGCAGAGAGCTAGCCCGCTTAGAGCCGTGGTGGCGGTCCGAGTGGTCCTCGCTCCGGCTGCGGCGGAGGCGTCCCTGCGGCTCGCTGATGCTCTTGCTGCGACACAGCTTGTGGATCACGTTCTGATTCACCGCGTCGTCAAAACGCTGCCTGTGCTTTTTGGGGATGAAGATTCTGGCGAGCATAATAGTGGAAAAGAAGAGATACGTACAGCTGTGGTGAGTAACGGTCCCACTTAGATGAGGAGAGGGGAACAGTGGGGATAGACTTTACAGATCCCCATAGTGCCAAAGCAACAAGTTAAGACATCCAATTTTAAGGGATGAAAGTGGCATCCAAACCCAGAAAATACAAAAATAAGCCAGGAACAAGTAGGCAGCTGTGACTAGATGTGGTGGTTTCTGGTGCAGTGTAGGACATCAGAGGCAGAATGGAGCAGGAGAAAAGGTGTGGGAGTGAGTGTGCCTGGGTTTCTTCCTCTCTCTCCTCTCTACATTCAGAGCGTCAGATTTTCACTCTCTCTGTTTGCTCCCACACTTCCGCCAACGCGTCATCTCTTCACTGTTGCTTCACTTGTCTGAACATAGACATGGAACTGTTGCCCATCATGCAATTGACCCCTGGTTTTTGGTCATTCCATTTTGACACAGAATGATCTAGACTGTTGATATTTAGACATTCTAGCCTTCACTTATTCACATACAATGACTTTACTTGCAGCAGAACTGTAACAGTCTATTCTTCATGGTAAGGCACCACAATCAAATTGAATTCAGTCATAGTTTCCAATAACAAACACTGCACATTATTTAGATAACATTATTTCCTTTACATACAGCAAATTATCACGTTGCATCAATCTGGCTATCCCAAAACCAGGCTCACAACAGCCTGAATGAGGTAGTTTTTCTCTTAATGTTATGGAAAGGCAAGTCCTGTCATTATCTGCTTTGTTAAAAGCACCATGAGATTTTATTGAGAACATGCTCGTCATTATAATAAATCAAATTCAAGGCAATGAAAAAAATAACAAAAACGTTCCACAGTATTGTCTTAAACATGTTTGTTTCACACGTGTAATATCATGAATGTGGGATATAGATTTACAATATATACAGGTTCTCTCATCTGTATTTCTTCATGGTGCACCTTTAAGACCATATTGAGTTTAGATTGTTTATGGGCTGTTTGACCATCCCCTACTCACAAACACAATATTCTGTATCATGGGTTTTCTAGCATCAACCACCTAAAGGCAAAAGGGAGAAATTAATTGGCTTCATGTTTGTGGCCGTTGTGCTTCAACAATCAGTCAACTGATACAATTTCGACCACATCTTAGTTAGTTTTTAGTTTTAGTTTTAGTTTTTAGTTTTTAGTCATCTTGCACAAACAACAATTTTTCTAGCCACCTACACCAGTCTGTTGGATGTTGGGTGTCTCAAACAGGGCTGATCAGATGAATCAGCTCGAGCAGATTAGGAGGTGAAAAACAACAACAGTGAGGCAATTAAATCCAAAAGATGCAGAATGGCAACACAAGCTCATTAAGGGGCTTGATACATGGCAATTGGCTATTATTATTTGACAGGTGAAAGTCTGTCATGTTCATGGTCACCACTTACATAGATTATTATATTTTTTTCCTTTGATGCCAAACGGCTACTATTGTAGCCACTGCTGCCTAGGGACACACTGACAAAAGAGAGGCAACCGGTCTGTGCCATCGGCCACTCTGACCACTACCAACCATTCGGACACACATATCGGACTCATTCTAAAGTGGGTGAAGTGTCTTTGCTTAAAGACTAGTGCTGTCCATCAATAAAAAATTGTAATCGCGATTAATATATACAGTCTATGGATTAATCGCATTAATGAAGTGGAGGAGTTCAAGTATCTCGGGGTCTTATTCACGGGTGAGGGAAGGAGCGAGCGTGAGATTGAAGGCGGGTCACTGCAGCGGGCGCAGTGATGTGGTCGCAGTACCGGACCATTGTGGTAAAGAGGGAGCTGAGCCGAAAGGCAAAGCTCTCCATTTACCAGTCAAGTTTAGTCATGTTTTCATTGTGACTGTTTTCAATGTAAAAAAGTCAGATCTTGGTTACACTAAACACTGTACAGCTGAAAACTACAGCAAAGTTACACATGACTGTTTTTAGTGCAGTAACTGAGTACTGTATGTATGTATGTACTGTATGTATGTGTATGTGTGTATGTATGTACTGAATGTATGTACTGTAGGTATGTATGTATGTATGTGTATATGTACATATGTATGGATGTACAGTATGTATGTACTGTATGTATATGTATGTACAGTATGTATGTACTGTATGTATATGTATGTACAGTATGTATGTACTGTATGTCTTTCACATATTTACTGCATATTCTCTTTGCTCAATTCTACAGCGTTATGCAACAAAAATACAGTCACTTACAGTATTTACGTAGAACAAACATACAAGAAATGTCACTGTGGTAGAACTGTGAAAAATCCAGGTCTGTTGTACAGTCTGACAGTCTCTTGATATATATATAAGTGATATAAGCCTGATGAGACTCCAATGCAAGTAGAACCGGATCCAAATTATGTGCTGCTTGAAGAATGTTAGGTTTGAAGGCACAAAAACGTCATACACCGATCCCAAGAGTGACCATAGGGTCGACAGAGTGAAGATCATTTTCTGTATTATGCAATAATTGTTGTATATAATTATTTTGATGCATTTTATCCACAGAGATGTTCCTTGATCAAGAATTGCTTTTCTACATTGTTCTGTTGGCCCACAGTGCTTGTGTGCTATTTGTACACTTTTGATCAAGAAAGCTGTCACATAAAAGGAAAAAGACTGACTGAAGTCTTTCATATTCCAATATGGGCCGAGTATTAATAGCTTCACGGTCTCAGCTTTAAGGTGGCCACAGCTTGACAAAACGATCTAATAAAAACAAGACAAAGGAGAAGGAGCTGCTCTATGGGGTGCCGATTGTAAAAATTCTGTTAAAATTTTTTAGCTGAACATTTTTCTACATTTAGCTCACTTTCCTCACATTTAGCACATTTTCCTCACATTTAAGACATATCTATATCTAAATATTAAATGTTATATCTAAATATTATATCTATATCTAAATGTTATATCTATATCTAAATGTTAAATCTAAATGTTAAATCTAAATGTTAAATCTAAATGTTATATCTATATCTAAATGTTATATCTATATCTAAATGTTATATCTATATCTAAATATTATATCTATATCTAAATGTTAAATGTTATATCTAAATATTATATCTATATCTAAATGTTATATCTATATCTAAATGTTAAATCTAAATGTTAAATCTAAATGTTAAATCTAAATGTGTCGCCAAGTGTAAAGCTAAATATATAGAAACCACGCCCACTGCAGTGGCTTCAAATCCAGTGGGCCCGCCTTCCGTGCCATGTGGTGAGAACCCTACAGGATTACACAGGAATCTCACGGGACTCCACGTGGCTTAGTTTACAGTGAATACACTCTGGCTCCAGCAAATAAGCAAGAATCTTCACAAAAATGCTAATTTTGTGCCGTGGCCAAGGACGATGGCGCCGGAGACCCAACATGCCTTGAGCCGTGACGTCGGTCCACGTGTATTCCTATGTTCAAAACACGCGGCACCGCCCCCACTCACCACACGGCACGGAAGGCGGGCCCACTGGATTTGAAGCCACTGCAGTGGGCGTGGTTTCTATATATTTAGCTTTACACTTGGCGACACATTTAGATTTAACATTTAGATTTAACATTTAGATTTAGATATAATATTTAGATATAGATATGTCTTAAATGTGAGGAAAATGTGCTAAATGTGAGGAAAGTGAGCTAAATGTAGAAAAATGTTCAGCTAAAAAATTTTAACAGAATTTTTACAATCGGCACCCCATACTGCTCATGTGATAAAAATAAACATTGGTGATGTGGCTGTAGTGCCGAAACAGCCCCTGGCTCTTTACCATGTACACTTCTGAGCTATTAAACACTTCTGAGCTATTAAACACTTCTAATAAGCACCATTATATATGTCTGTCATACAAACACCTTCATTTGTGATTAGAAAGTGCCTCGGTAGGACAGATGTTCATCCTCCACTAATCACCATCTGTTAAAAGCACCACATAAGTAAAACTTTACCACATAAACTATTTCAAACTTCAAGCTTCAATCTGACCTGCTTTCTAAAGAACACAGATCTATAATTATCAGATGTTGAAACACAAATAAGCCAGGGAGAAGAGGACAGATTTCTCTAAAGAGAGGGACGATGCGCAGAAACTAGACTTTTCTGACAGTGACAGTGACAGCAAGAGGACAACTTGCTGCAATGTCTCAATAAATATGTTTCTAAAATCTCTTCTGCCTTGCACAGCACCAGCTGAACTGGGTCGTGTGGGGACAGAGATAGTACACTTGAGGGTGTGAAAGCATTGTAGGAGGTTGTTCTGTGCAATAACACATTTATTAACCCGTTTAGCTAGTGTGAAAGAACAACAGCTATAGTAGTATATTATATATGATTTACAGATTATTTGGTCTGATATATATGTACATATGTATTTTCTAAATTGCATTCAAATATATTAGTCATTTGTTATGCCCATCATCATCAACGCCCAAAATAAGTGCACTAATAAAGCTGTTTTGCATCACTTCATTCCCAAAACAAAATAAAAAATGATGATTGACAGCTATGTGCCAGCTCGTTTGACTGGAGCATGTGAGCAGTAGGTGGCAGTCATGTCTGCATATTCAACAACCCTTATGTAACAATGCTCATATCACTGAGCATTTTGAAGTCTGGGTCACACTCCCTCTCCAGCTGTGAGTGGATATATCAATTACAGCCTTTATAAAAACAAGAACTTAAAACTATGAATTAAAATGTCAGCAAGGATAGTTGATTTCCAATTATGTCATTATTGTGTAATTTTTGTCCACAAGTTATTTCCTGGTCATTAGGTTTCAAACAAGCTCCAGTCACTGCCCCCGTTGTGAGGGCGAGCCTCGTTATCTGCACAGAATCCTATTAAAGGCAACAATAATTGTCCAGTTCAGTTATAGTCAAACTACAGGTTAACCATGGTGCACTACACAAAGATGATAATGAGCATATATTGTGTAAACTATTTTTTGTTTTTGTACTTATTTTAATACACTAAAAACATTGGGAAAAAGCTGAATTTCAACCTCCACATTGTCAACAACATGTCACTAAATAGACCCAGGCTGGTCAATAGTAAGAAGTCATCATTACTTACACATATTTCTATTAGTCATAAACTAAAACTACCTAATGTTTTTTCAACAACAAAATAATATTGTACTCACCCCAGACAATTCATTATTTCATCTGTCAGCCAGCTCAAAAAAGAAGAGAGGCAGTAGAGCAGATAGCGGCACCATCTCGTATACAGAGTGGCATGACACACCTACTACGGCTACACTGCTGTTTCTTAGTAAGGGATGAAAGCTGCGGAGAGACCTTGAAGCACACAGGAGGCTGGCTTCTCTTAATGTCAAGGGAAAAACGGACCTCTGAATAATGAATAATGAATAATGGATACAGACGTGAGATAAAAGATGACATTTGTATTGTATTAGGCACACATGTAAATATGAGTGGCCAATTAAGAGCTTTTGAATAATTCATGAGCGATTTGGGGCAGGACGTCCACCTCATTATGGAAGCAAAAATATCTGCGTGGTCGCTTCTGGAAAAAACATCTTAAGGACTTATTAATAACTCATTTAAACGGAGCGTAGTAGTAAGAGAATAAAGACTATTACTGGCTTTGGGTGAGGAGCACAATCTGTGGTTAAAACGTCTAGGGATTTAGTCAATCAAGTGAATACTGCTCTATTTGGCACACACAGCCTCGAGCTTGCCCAAACTTTTTCAAAATGCTGGACACTGGAAAGCGCCCAATCAGCTATGTCCAATTACTGAAGGTTCCGAAATGTTTAATTGGATCGATTGGCCAAAAGTTTTAATTTTCTAACACCTAAAGGGTCCGGGAGAGTCAGTATGGATTTGCGCTAAGACGGCAGATGGGTGAAGAAAAAAAGAGGTAGGGGGTAGAACAGCCCTAATCGGCTCACGTCTTGACTCTTAACTGCATTACATATTCTAAGTCAAACTGCATTAAAAAGTGATCACCATAGACAAGAGGGAAAGTAGATTACATAGAGAGAGAATGATGTCTAATGCGAGGCTTAATGTTTTTCATTTGTAAAATACTCATATCCTCTTCAAACTTCCAATCAAACAGACATATGCCTCTCTCAAAACAAATGAGAAAATGAGAAATGAGAAAATGGCAAAAAATCGGGAAAATGCTAATACCCAAAAAAAAATATTAAGAGAAATATTAATGACAACTACAATTACAGTATGTCAGCTGCTCTTCTCACGATAATAAAAACATGTATTTGATGTCCATTAGTCCATTCCTGTAACCAGCTTTGAACTAACTTACACTTGAACTTACACACTTACAAATTTTGTGTAAACAACATTATGTAACAGGTTCACATTTGTGGCAAGACACTTCTCCCAACTTGGCCTGAAGCCCCCACTGAAAGACCAAGGCTATGCCATGGAGCAGCCATCCTCCTGTGGACTCAGCATCTGCAGGAGGATCAGAGAGGGGCTGGTGCACTGTGTGTATTGGGTGGCATCTCTGGCCACCCCCCGACCCAGACATGGATTAAGGGGTAGAAAATGGAATGGAATGGAAAGTTCACATTTGAAGCTATATAAAACTATATATACTACTAGCTAACCATTACAACTAGAGCAAATGAGTTGACCCAATTCTTGGTCGATAAATTCAATTCAATTCAAGTTATTCTTGTATAGACCTAAATCACAACAGTAGTCATCTCAGAGGACTTAAAAAACCGTCAAAATCGTCAACACAGATCAGAGAATCAAACAGTTCAAACACAAAACAAAATATATAGAACACATAGGTATTGGTTCATAGTGAGTTGACCAATGTCCGTGAATGTTGATAAATGTACATAAATGTTGTAGAATGTTAGAGTGTCCTGGACAAAAAGTTGGCTTAGCAAAAGCTCCAAAAAAGGTACCTGACCCAAACTGTAACTTACAAACAACTATTTGAAGAAAAATAATTCACTGAAATATTAAGCGATTATTAAATGGACAGTTTGATCTGGCTTCAATATCAAAGTAAATACAAGCATCCTCTGCTGCATTTAGCAGTTTTCAACAGGAGATTATTGTAACTGAAACAATCAATCAACAAATTCAAAATTTGGACTAAAGAGTTTACCATTAGTTGTTTAGCTGCCATAATTTAATCTAATGTCAAAGATACTTAAAAGGTACTCTGTGTAAATTCTACAGTTGCTCCAAATGAAAAACATTTTAACCAATAACAGAACAGTAGACTGCAATACATAGTGTCCCTTTAATCATATAACTACCAAAACTACTATTTTCTTCTTTGATACTTTTCAGACTATACTTTAGAGGCACATCACCTAATGAAAAAATACTAAATAAAAGCATGAACCACAATGTTCATTTAACATTAAGTGATGAACAGTGCTATCATGAAGGTTACTCAGTTTCCAGACTTGGATCTATACGCCACAAACACAAACTGCCAGAGCACTGACTCAGACAAACAGGTGTCTTGTGAATTTGTGTGAAATGACTGAGACTTGTCTGGCCTGGATCCTTGTTCCCTCTATTTAGACAACGATACAATGCAAGACATTCAAGGTTTTATTGAACAAAAATATGTGTTACTGAAATGTAAACTGAACAAAAGCATACACATGTCTTCAAAGCTGCATCTTGTGGTTATGAAGATACATAGAATCTAATTCTGTAACTATTCAAAGAAAAAATTCTAAATGAGGATATTTATTGTGCGTTGGCACACGGTGGTCAATGAAGAGAAAGCCAACAATAAAGAGACTCATTATGTTAGGTCTTTTCGGAAATTTGATGTGAAACAGACAAAGGTGGAGCCCTGTCTGAGTCTTTCTAATGGTGCTTTCAGACCGGTGTTCTGTCGAGTTGGTCTGCCCGTCGAGATGATCTGCCTCAGCTGTTAATGATGTAATGCAAACCTGCCCATGCGCGTCTCACGGCAGCCGAAGCAATTCAAGATGGCAGACATGAAGTCCGCAAATTGCTTTAAAAGTTAAATACAAACGAGTTAAGACACGAATGTCACTATTAATGCAATTTGAGGCGAGATGTTGATGGTTCCGCGTTGTGAAATGTATGTTTTAAGAGTAAGAGTTTTGTGTAAAGTTTGTTTTAAGCAGTCCACTGCTCCTGTGAAACTACACTGCTGCTGTGTGATCCCTGAGTTGACTGCCGCATACGTCATTTTACTGACGTAGGCCCATGACGCGTCGTGTGACTGGTCTGTCGGGTTGATGATGGATATAATAAATTAAATTTTATGCATGTATCATACTGTATTCAATATGATTAACAATAGTGTGTTCAAACAAAATATTTAATTAGATCGAGTTTTTTCCCCATTCTGGCGGGTTTCTGCGCATGCGCAAGTCAGATTTGGGCACACTAGCAGAGTAGTTTCACAGGAGCAGTGGACTGCTTAAAACAAACTTTACACAAAACTCTTACTCTAAAAACCCACATATCACAACGCAGAACCATCAACATCTCGCCTCAAATTGCATTAAAAGTGACATTGGTGTCTTTATTTACAATTAACTTTTAAAGAAATTTGCGGACTACATGTCCGCCATCTTGGATTGCTTCGGCTGCCGTGAGACGCGCAGCGCTGGTTTGCATTACATCATTAACAGCTGAGGCAGATCATCTCGACGGGCAGACCAACTCGACAGAACACCGGCAACGCTGAAACGTACGTTCTCTATTTTTCATACGCAGACGTCTTCAGACCTGAGGTCCTGGCGTGCGCCAGAAGTGCCGGAAGTAGCCGGCGGGCTCTGATGCTTACAGAGTTTAGCTAGCGGCTTCTTGTGTACAGATCTTCTCCAAGAATGCAGCTTTGCAGCGTGTCAGTGTTCACGGAACAGTAGTATGTGCTCACGGAGGTGCGCAATAAGCTTATTTTATTATTAAACTGTACTTCCGCATCGGCGAACACACTCGAAGCAGTTGCATAAAGTCACGGGAGCATGAAAACTCACATGTTAACAAGCTCTATATCCCCCATTGTCAACCCTGGTTTAGTCCTGATGTAGCTCCTGTTATGGCTGTTCACGTGTATTTTCAGTTTGCTCGCTCAGTCCGCAAATTTCCTCGTGACCACTTTGCGGCTCTCTGATTGGTTGCTGCACGAACGTCTCGAGGAAAGGTCTAGCAAAATCCATCTCCTGCGTTCCTCCCCTTCGACTTCCCAGCGCGGTCCGTGCGTGCATTCCGAGACGTTTGTGCGTTTTGACGCTTGAACGCGCGTCACCATTGACTTTGCATTGAAAGCCGACGCAACGCATGATCCAGTCTGAACGCGGTATAACAGAATAACTAAAAGAATTAATAAAAATAAATAAAATATAAAGATGAAAAAAAGTGTAAGTAAGCGTTTGTGGGTCACTGAATAGAAAGTTCCCTGGATTCAGGATCTCATGTCGTGATTCTGCTGTTTGTTGCCTGAAGAGTGAACTGCTTACATCGTAGTAAATTTACAATAATCATAACATAATTGCATTCAACCTCTCTATTGATGTATCGGTGCAATCCAAAAACCATAAACTAAAAGAGACATAGAATAAAAGTTGCACGAAGACATAGATATTGAAACTTGATTTCGACAGAGACCTGTTTGCTGCCTTGTTATCCAGGGTTTATTTACGCTGACGGTCAGACTGTCAAGTATGCCATAACAAGCAAGTACAACAAAAAATTGTGCTGACTAAATAAACCATGAGGACCAACTTCTCCCACTGACTCTCTAGAGATGTGTGCATAACGACAGATGACCCCAGCTCTTAATCTGCTGTAACATAAGCAGCAGCGTCTTCCAGTGGCTCTCACCTGATATCAGAGAGGAGCTGCCGGTGCTCGTCCGTGGTCAGGATTTCCGGCAGGACAGACGCCAGCCAATCCACTCTCTTCTCAGCGGCATACTGCTTCAACACTGCAAACAATCTGTCTTTCACCTCGGGGTCGTCCGCTAAAATCTGGTCCACCTGATGGAGAGCACATACTAATGGTCAGCTCATGCAGTATTGTTGAAGAAAAATATCACACACCATTTAATCTTTCTCCCGCTCAAGCATATTAAAAGGAGGCTATCTAAATTATGATTATTCACGACCACTAATCCAAAATTAATATTGTTAATTGCAAGTGAAAAAACAAATGTAAGTATTTCCAGAGTAATGATGTGTTCTCAAGTGAAGACATATCAACTCAGTAAATATCCTCAGCATAGTGCTCCAGACTTAGGGAACCACTGTATAGACTTTTGTATGTGAAACTAAACAATGTTTCTGCTACAGACGCATATCGGATAGATGTATGAAATGGACTCAAACCTTTTTATTGAACTCTAAAGCCTTGTGTTTCCGGTTCATTCTCATCCCGTCTCCCCCCATGAGACTGTCCTCGATGCTGAGGCTGCGATTTTGCCTTGGTCCAAGACAGAGGACTCCCATGCGAAGAGTCCGGCCCTGAGAGGACTTGATGAGCGCTGCAGCAGTTTCATGCTGTCGGACCGGGATCCCGTTAACCTCCATCACGTAGTCGCCGGCTCTAAGCCCTGCTCTACCCGCGGGAGAGCAAGGAGAGCAGTCCTCCACTAGCAGAGGACAATCTCCCACAATAGTGAAGCCAAAGCGACCATCAGGTCCTGGGATGATGTCCATCTTTGAGGTGAAAATATATGTTATTAAGTAGTAGTAGTATGAATAGTTGGAGAATAGCTCTAATTAGGAAACAGCACTTTGACTTAAATTAGGGAAATTGTAACAAAATAAAAATGAAAAAATAAAAAATAAACTATTGTAAATCAGATTTTTTTTTATTGCCATGTAAATAACAGGAAGGTGGCTTTGTAAAGTGACTTTATAAAGGGCAGTAAAGTGACTTTATAAAGGGCAGTAAAGTGACTTTATAAAGGGCGGTAAAGTGACTATATAAAGGGCAGTAAAGTGACTTTATAAAGGGCAGTAAAGTGACTTTATAAAGGGCAGTAAAGTGACTTTATAAAGGGCAGTAAAGTGACTTTATAAAGGGCAGTAAAGTGACTTTATAAAAGGCAGTAAAGTGACTATATAAAGGGCAGTAAAGTGACTTTATAAAGGACATCAAAGTGACTATATAAAGGGCAGTAAAGTGACTTTATAAAGGACAATAAAGTGACTATATAAAGGGCAGTAAAGTGACTTTATAAAGGACAATAAAGTGACTATATAAAGGGCGGTAAAGTGACTGTAAAGGGCGGGGTGACAAGGGAATGAAGTCCAACAGTTGGGAGTAAGTAACTGTTCTAAACACTATATTAATAATAAATATGTAAACGCACAAACAAAGACTCATCATTTAGTAATAATGATAACAACAATATTGTTTTTTGTTTTTTGCAAGGTACCTGCTGTATGCGCGACACCACTCCAATACTGGGCGGTATGTTTTTCTGCGTCTGTGCAATGGCAATAACAGCCTGTGGGGGCAGTGTGGACACATTGTGGCCTTCAATCTCCAGCACCTGGTCACCTGGCTGAAGCCCGGCCAGGTGAGCACTGCTCCCCTCTTCCACAGACAAAATATAGCAGGGCCCAGGACCTCCGAGCTGGAATCCAAACTCTTCAGGCCAGCCCTGATTGGATGTGGGCATGCTGAGAACTTCAAGCACAGAAAGATCAATGTGTTGACCAACAAAAAGAGACATGAAACGTGACCTTTCAGAGGTACGAATGCACAGATACAAAATGGAGAGTGAAAATCAATACAGGAACATTTGTTGGTACCGGTTCTCAACATTAAGCAACAACGTTGACCACTGCGATTTTGTTGAAAATGACAATTGGACTGACATGGGACATTGGAATTCAGAAAATGTCATCAAAAAATGTCAATCATTGTCATGTGCCTACTGAGAATGGCCTTTCAATGTATGTAATAGGACCATGAACTGGCTGCGGTTAGCCCAGAATATCATGAAATGTATACTTAATACTTAATACTCATTTAAAATTGGTATGCAGTTATTTGCAGGAAGAATAACAGCTTAACCGATTTTGTAGGGAGTGATTTGAGCGGATACATTAAAAAGTCCCTTCCCTGATATTGGTTCATATAAATATAAGTCACAAATCTAAATCAGTATCACACATGAAAGAACTGGATTAGTGGTCCTCTAGTTTGTATCAAAAACAGGCAATTGTACAAGTGGTTCACAACTAGCATGCATTTTAAACACAACAATATTTAGCTAATTAAATGTATCACATCCAAAAGCTTATAATAAACAAGACTAGGGATTAGAAAACCTACCTGCCTTTACAATCAAATTCAAGTCCATTTGTATTAGATTGTGGTTGTGCTCATCTGTGCATGCCTTAAAGGAAACGCTCCTGTCACAGCTCCCTGCCACCAGTGCCTGCACTAGAGGTTCTACCCGGTGAGGCTCTGTAACCCTTCTACCCTGAACTGTGACACACTCAGCACTCATGATGTAGTTCACAAGCTCTCAAGCAGCCAATCAAATCATCGCAGGCATCGCAAAAAATTGTGACCTTAATTAGCTTAGAAAGACAAACGTCCCCTTGGCAAACTTTTGGGTGCTGAATGACTTTGTAATTATGCAACCAAAACTAGTGCACACTGCACAGCTGATGGAGTTGGTAAAACAGAAAAAGCACACATCATGGGAGGTTCTAACCAATGTATGAACCTCGTTATGGAGACGACAAAGTTGACCTAATTGAAAATGAAGACTGCGGTGATGGGCTTCACAGTCCCCGCAGTGGTGCTCCACAATAGGATTTACAAAGAGTGGACAAAGCTGATAAAAGACTTACTGATATCTTTGGATGGATACCGAGAGCCCCGTTTACTCTGTCGAAAAGAGTACCGGCCTTTTCGGTTTTGAAGAAACTTCTTCATCTTCAAAGTCAAGTAGCAGACAGCTCTAATAGCATCCAGTCCTCTCTGTAAAATGCACCATCAGGAAAAAGAAGCCCCTTTGCACCGCCCACCCGCACCTTGCAGTCACCACACACTCTGTCCCATTCTCGCAGCACTCAGAAGCAGTCCTCATAAGCAAGAGCGGCGTGTGCGCTAAAAAAGCCAGTGTAGCCTCTATGAGTGTGTCAAGAAAGTTGCATTTCATCCCTGAATCATCGTTGAGGCCAGTTTGAGCGACACCGTGTTAATCAGAGAAACTGGGACATGTGCACCCGAGCACCTCCGTTCCTTAATGCTTCTCTCTCCAAAAAGGGTATTGTGAGGCCTCATTTTTCTATAAATACACCGATGTGTCTCTCTCTCCTCCCCTCCGTCTCCACTGGTGAGGTGGCTCTCCCAGGGACTGCTCCTGGCCCAGAATCGCAAGACAGACCGATGAGGACTAATTGGAGCGCTTGTGTGTGTGGGATGCTGTCAGTCCAAGTACTGTATCACTCTAGTACTGAGCCCATTGAGAAGAAGAAGAGGGGACACAACTCAAGATTGTGGGATTAGTAGGATTATAGGCTCAATCCACAGCTCTCTTCCACCCACTTATTAATACTTAGACAACACATGCTCCTCCTGTAAATGAATGGTCAGGTGCATAATGTGCATAACAAAGTGGAATGACATTTATCAATAATCTATGAAAGTTACCCTTTCTTAAAATAAAAGAAATATCCATCCACCCATCTTCTTCCCCTTAATCCATATATATACTGTATATATACAGTGGGGCAAAAAAGTATTTAGTCAGCCACCAATTGTGCAAGTTCTCCCACTTAAAATAATGACAGAGGTCTGTAATTTTCATAATAGGTTCACTTCAACTGTGAGAGACAGAATGTGAAAAAAAAATCCAAAAAATCTTTTGGTCCATTCTGTTATGGACCAAAAGAATCTGGTCCATAACAGAAATTCAACTCAATGGAAGGAGGTTTTGGCTCAAAATCTCACGATACATGGCCCCATTCATTCTTTCCTTAACAAGGATAAGTCGTCCTGTCCCCTTAGCAGAAAAACAGCCCCAAAGCATGACGTTTCCACCCCCATGCTTCACAGTAGGTATGGTGTTCATGGGATGCAACTCAGTATTCTTCTTCCTCCAAACACCTCGAGTTGAGTTTATACCAAACAGTTGTACTTTGGTTTCATCTGACCACATGACATTCTCCCAATCCTCTGCTGTATCATCCATGTGCTCTCTGGCAAACTTCAGACGGGCCTGGACATGCACTGGCTTCACCAGGGGGACACGTCTGGCACTGCAGGGTTTGATTCCCTGTCGTCGTAGTGTGTTACTGATGGTAACGTTTGTTACTTTGGTCCCAGCTCTCTGCAGGTCATTCACCAGGTCCCCCTGTGTGGCTCTGGGATTTTTGATCACCGTTCTCATGATCATTTTGACCCCACGGGATGAGATCGAGGGAGATTATCAGTGGTTGAAATATCGTTTTGGGCTACATTTGGGCTATCTTTTATACAGATAACGAGTTCAAACAGGTGCCATTAATACAGGTAACGAGTGGAGGACAGAAGAGCTTCTTAAAGAAGAAGTTACAAGTCTGTGAGAGCCAGAGATCTTCCTGGTTTGAAGTGACCAAATACTTATTTTCCACCATAATTTACAAATAAATTCAATTTCAAATGAATAAATAATCTTTAAGTGTCAGATAAGATAATATAGTCCTTTATTTGTGGGAAGATTTCAAATCTCATCATTTCGCATATAGCAGAATAAAAAGTAGTAAATAAGAGCACTCAAGATATCAGTTCCTGTAGGCCTAAGCCATGAGTCCTTCATAAGAGAAATTAGTCAACAATAAACAGTATATATATATTTAAATAGTATATATATATTTAAATAGATGAGGACCAAAGCCAAAGCATCTAAAATATTTTATGGTTGATTATAAAAAAAAAAAAAGAATATGTGTACAATATGTATAAGTGACAGAGTGACAAGATAAGTCTTATTGAAAACAGAAGAATCAAAACACACCCATGCTTTACCTTTTGGAGCCCCATGCAGAGGTATGCAGGCAGATCTCCTGAGTACAGTTCCCCTCTGCAGCACTGTGATCTGTAATATGAGTGTTGGCCCAGTGAGTCTGCAACCGGATCCAGCAGGAGTCTTGTGGAGCCTGGCAAAAACCTATGAAAAAGAATGATAAAAAAAATAAAAACAAAAACTTTTTACCAGAATAATAGTGAGAGTAAGGTTTATGGTTCAGCCCTTAACTGCCTACTTGACATCAGCTGTTATATATTTTTTATTATAAAACTTAGTGACTTCACTATAACACCATAGTTCTCTTCCTGTCTGAAGTGTTTCTTTTAAGGATACCTTGGGCGGTGAATTGTGCCATTTGAATATAGATAATAAAGGTTATCAAGTTAATCCATAACCCTCCGCCAGGTCAAGACGGGCCAGGTTTGTGGAGATGCAAGTTCTGAAGATGCTGTGTGGAAATATGTTTGTATTTTACCAATATTTTACAAAAAATAATCATTTTAAAACCTTTTTCAATTAGGCCTTAGAATTCATTTTGACGAAAATAGTTGTACGTTAGGGCCGTTTAATAACACACCAGAGGCTATAATACGTGTATGGTGATGACAACTTTCAAAATTCTGGGAAATGGAACTCAACTACAGCCTTGTCCAGCAGCACAAGCACATGAATAAAAGAAGTTCTGAGAGACATCCAGCTGGGGCCGCTCGTGCTCGTGCCGCTCGTGCCGTCATGTCCCTGTTAGCTAATGTAGCTAACGTGATGATGCTAATGTAGCTAACGCGATGATGCTAATGTAGCTAACGTGATTATGCTAATGTAGCTAACGTGATTATGCTAATGTAGCTAACGTGATTATGCTAATGTAGCTAACGTGATGATGCTAATGTAGCTAACGTGATGATGCTAAGGAAGTGGTTTGTTGACACAACCCGGGCATGGAGTGTTGTGGAGTCAGAGTGGAGTAGATATGCCGTGCTTTTGACAAAGAACTGAACAATGCGAACTGAAGATATGGCATTAGAAAGGAAATGTGTGTGACTTCCCTTAAAAGGTAAGCAGATAATATATTTCAAAAGAGCGATAACGTGATAACTAAAGAGACTTGCAGTAACTGGGTTGATGTCATGATATGACAGCTATGCAGTTAATCCTCACGTTTGCTAAACTAAATTAAGTTAATTTTATGTTTCGCTTTTTACACTGTACGCAGATCAATAACATGGATTTCCTCACTTTGTTTGCCGTCTACGTGGCTGTGGTTCTGACATGTATAGTCCTTGTTTGCAAGTATTCAGGACAGCAGCAGTCTCCTCTCACCATCCTCTTCGACTGTCTCGCAAAGGTAATTTCGATTAACGAAATAGCCAATAGACATTCAACTCTCAATCTCTATGTATTTATTATTTGATAGATATTTGGACCAATTACACCAAAATGGCTCCAAAGGTTTTCTCAGGGAACTATGCACAAACTGTTTCACCAAAGGTGTGTATTATACATGGATTGCACTTCATAATTGCCACTTAAATCAAGTTTTGTTTTCTCAATTTAGAAGCAACATGTTCATCTACATTCACATTCTGCTGGAGGTAGTAGTTTATGCAGAGTTTACTTATGAAGTGTTTGGATACTGTCAGGACATGGACACTACATTACTCAGTTTGTCAGTGCCTTACATCCTTCTAGCTGTAAAGACATTATTTTTCTTTCTCTGCATCAAAAGAGATCCAGGTAAGAGTGTATCTCTTTTAATTTATTATTACTATTTTGTTTAATGTTTTCTCTCTAATAGGCACAGTGACTAAAAAGAGAATTCCTAGCCAACTTCAAGTCTACCCATATGACGGACGGCTGTTTCACCCTGGAGTCTCCTGTCCAACTTGTCAACTTGTCAAACCTGCTCGCTCTAAACACTGCAGTAAGCATATTTGTTACTTTCTATATTATGTTCATCCAGATTGTTCTTACTTTATTACCATTACATGTGTTGTTATCCACTTTCTTAGGGGTCTGTAACAGATGTGTTCAACGGTTTGACCACCACTGTGTCTGGGTGAACAACTGCATTGGTTCTCAGAACACTCGTTACTTCCTGCTCTATCTCTTCAGTCTGACTGCTATGGCTGGTGATATTGCCTTGCTAACGGGAGACATGCTGTTACACGCAGTCCTGAGGTCAGGACTCTTGCGTGCCAGCTACGTGGATGAGAATGGCCAGCAGCAGCCAGCAGGACCTCTGTTTGTTGTGCAGGTGAAAATATGCTTTTAGTTTATTAATGGCGTGATGTAATATAATACATTACATAGATTATAATATCTTGTTTTGTGTTTTCTTTCAGCATCTTTTTCTGACATTTCCTCGAATTGTTTTCATGTTGGGTTTTTTGGTCTTTGTCTTCTTTCTACTGGCAGGCTATGCCTTATTTCATACTTACCTTGCTCTTATAAACCAGACTTCTAATGAATGGTACAAAAGTCGAGGATATGTATGTCAGCACTGTCACCCAATAACTGCTGACCGCATGTGTAGCGTGTCACCAAACCACACCAAAAGACACTTCTACAGCAATGGGCTTTTACAGAACATAAGGGAAATAGTCTTCCCTCCACAGCTTATTCACAAAAAAACCAACTGAAATATAATGTGATAAACATCAAATTAACTGTTAGAAAAAGCCAAGATAAAGTGAGTGAATGAATTAATCTCTAAAATAACAGTGAGGATGTCATTTTGAATGAAATTACTCATGGTGCTAATATTTTTTTCCCAAAATGTATTATCTTTTTTTGTAAATTTTTGTTTCTCATTTTTTGTGTTATGTAGTTTATATGGTTGGCCTATGCGCAGCAGAAGCCTGAGGTCTGAAGCCCTGGCTGCAATCCTGCTTAATTACAGACATGTGTTTTATGCACAGGTCCTGTTTTATGTATGTTTAATGTCTCTTATGTAAATAAATACCTATACTTTTAATACCTACTTCTTAATCAATGGGCCTATTATTTTTTCTGACTGAAAAATGTGTGTAAAAGCTATAATTTGGATATACACGTTGAAATGCCTTTACTTTCCTGGTATTTTTTTATTATGCTACAAAGCTACATAAAGATGTCTAGGCATAGAGATGGTGGACAAAGTAGTGACAGATGGGCGGGGCTCCAGTTGCTGACTCTGTGCCTTTAAGCCGGTGCGGAAGTAAGGAGAAGGTCAGTCTTGGCGTGAGCGTTGACAGTGCATGAATTAATCCAAGTCCTTCGCGAAGAGTCGCACTGTCGTGAGGAAGCTTCATGTCGGGGGCCAAATGCACCCGTCTGAGCGGGACGCTCATCAAGCAAGTGCTGGACTCTGTGGACAGCGTGTTGTTTGACTGCGACGGTGTGATCTGGAGAGGCGACCAGGCTGTTCCCGGGGCTTCAGAAGTCATCAATCTCCTCAAGAAACATGGGAAGAAAGTATTTTTCGTCACTAACAACAGCAGCAAGACAAGGAAATTATATGCTGACAAAATGTCCTTGTTGGGCTTCAACGTGACCGAGGATGACGTGTTTGGGACCGCGTACTGCTGTGCTCTGTACCTCCGGACGGTGTGCCAGCTGCAGGGGAAGGTCTACCTTGTGGGCAGCGATGCCATGAAGCAGGAGCTGGAGGCAGTGGGGATCCAACAGACGGGGGTAGGACCCGACCCCATCAGCGGGAAACACGCAGATTGGGCAAACGTGCCCTTAGATCCGGAGGTGAAGGCGGTGGTGGTCGGGTTTGATGAGCATTTCAGCTACATGAAGATGAACAGGGCCATGCAGTATCTTAACCAAGGATGTCTATTTGTGGGAACCAACAGGGACTCTCGGTTACCCCTAGAAGGAGGCAAGGCTGTGCCAGGTGGGTTGAAATGTATAATAAAATGTTTGACAAAGTAAATTTGTAATATCTGTTTTTCTTAGGTACTGGGTGTATACTGCAAGCTGTGGAGGCTGCAGCCCAACGTGAGGCCCAAACTGTGGGAAAACCGAACCGGTTCATGTTCGAGTGTGTTGCCTCCCAGTTTGGTGTGGAGCAGGAGCGCTGCCTGATGGTTGGAGACCGCCTGGACACGGACATCCTCTTGGGCTCCAACTGTGGCCTGAAGACTCTACTCGCACTCACAGGGGTCAACACTGTGGCAGATGCGCTGGAACACCAAAGGAGTGGCTGTCCGAAGAGACAGGGCATGGTCCCTGACTATTATGTGGAGAGCATTGCAGACTTGCTGCCTGCTTTGAGGGAATGAAACCTTGATCAGGATGAGTGATATGTAGCTGGTAACTTGCCATAGTTTTAACCTTCACGTCCAGTATTCTAGTTTCATACACAATTACATTTTATGGGGGAAAAGCCATAGACTCTTCTCTTGATGATGCAACTGAAAAAAAGGAAATGACTTTACAGATTTTTTTAAACAGAACAACTAAAGGACATTGCAAGCTGGGCAAATAGCACTGAACTTGTTTGTGTGTTATATTCATGTTTCTGATTTAAATTCTTAATGTGCAGGTTGATGCTTTATACGATAATTAAAGGTGATTCATTTATGTGTTTGGTACGGTTTATGATTATGTTCTAGCATCTGAGCAAAACTAAGTGTGGTGAAAAGATGTATGCCATTGCAACAAAACGATCAAAGGAAAATTAAGTAGTACTGTTTTACATTCATGTTTGATAAATAATTCCAATACATTCATTTGACACTTTATGTTGCCATTTATGATCTGTATGATGTTTGTGTGTTTAATACAAATACATTGGTTTGAGACTTAATATACACTCACCACAAAAGGACAAGACAAATAATAGACAAAGCCAACTTTCTTGAACATATATATTTTGCAGCTGTAAGTCACCTTGGACTCTCATCACCTGACAAAAAACTCAATCTTTCCTCCGATGAGTGAACCTTTCCAATCTGTGCCTGCCCTGGGCTTTTGTCCATTGTCCTGACTTTCATGATTGTGCCTTTACATGAGAGGTGGGGAAACAGGGTTCCCCAAAAGACGGGTGATGCTAAAAGAGTTGCCATCACAGTGAGTGAGGGAGAGGAAAGTTGCAAGCAGAGTAAACTTGGCAAGATGTCAAAGATTAGTGTATGCAGGTTATTGATATGAGGAGAAGCAAAAAACAAAAAGTCTGGTTGGAGGCAGTGGAGGGGGCCGCTGACAGGACAGACGGATGGGGGAGGTCTGAAGGAACAAAAGATAGGCTGGCCAGAGGTAAGGTCTCAGTGTGTGCCGGACATGATCACTGCTCCATGAGGGCAGATGCGAGAAGGGGGGCAACAGTGAGGAGCAGGATGGTGAGGTGCTGGAAGCAATCTGGACATCATTTGGACGAGGCACAGAGCACGGTAAGAGGTCTCAATTTGGGGTAATCTTTAAATCTGGATTATCAGGAGTAGGTCTAAAAACATAAAGTAAACAATGGTTAGATGTCAATGTTTACTGGGCCAGTCCATGAGAAAATATGTCCGAAGTGAATTTATACATGTAAATGCGTCATTTCAGTTTATTGTATATTAAAATGGTTCAGAATGGTCAAATCAAGTCTTATTACTCCTTTTTCAGGATGGGGACCCGGTTGTTCTTTCTCAGTTCCGCTTCCCCCATAAAGCATTTTGGCCCAGTGTCACAGCACTTCTGCTCTTGTTCATCCTCGTCTTTGGTGTAACTGCACATTTCGGGACATCAAAGACTTCCACCCAGGTTTGCCAATATCAATATATTCTGAATGTGAAATGCTTGAGATAACCCTTAATAATTTTAGTCTTTACAGATTGTAAGATTTTATTCTCAAGATGCAACTGGCAGTATCATAAACCAATCAGCAGTTGTGGACCGAAAAAATGATATTGTGACATTTTATCTAGCATCACCGGTTAACCAGCGATCTACTGTGCTGTTTGATATCAAACAAGTAAGTCCAACTATAGCATCAAGTGTTTGCAGGGGAAAAACAAAACCGATCACATCATACAAACATCAAATCTATCAATGTAAAACGTACAATTCATAAAGTTTTATGTATACTTAAAGTATGAACCATTTCCATTTTAGGGTTTGATATGTTACAAGCCGCTTAACCAGAAGACATGCTACCTGCAAACAATGAAAGACTCAGACTATGACAACGTACGCTCCTTTCTCCATGAGCCAAAAGAAAAGGTAATTGAAGCTGGCATTTCAACTCAGTTTAATGGACGGCTTTACTCATTTAAGAAATATGATGCTACATAAGCATCGTAAAGAACTGCCCTTTTACTTTGGCCAAAATCTCCCATGCTCAGCCCACCATTTTTAAGGTACCCTTATCCCCAAAAGTGGTATCCCTCTGATCCTTCTAAGTTTCATAGGTCTTGCATGACCTGTTGGTCACTTGGAACAAAGAGAGAGGTGAAGCATACAAGGCCTTGAGAAGCTTTTTTCGTCTGAGTAGCTGGCTTCTTGGCTCCCTTTACTCCAGATAAATTCCTCAGCCCATCTGATCTTTCAGCCCCTCTGCACAGGATCTTCTTACAGAACACACCTCACAAGACTGAAGCTTTGCATTGGGTACAATAGTTGCTCTGTGTGAGGGCTTTTTGGCCCTTACTACTTTTGGATTAGAAACCTTTGGTTAGAGAGAGAGCATTAGTTTGACGGCCACAAGAGCATGATCATGCATTTCAATGTGTGTATGTTTTGATGATCATGCAAATCGCGTAAATTAATCACGCAAATTAATCTGAAAACAAATCTTTCCCAAAAAGCAAAATGGTCTTTTCGGCGTATTTCAGATGAGAATATCAAACATATGAGGAATTCTTCCTGCAAAAGCACAGGTTAAGTGGTTCTATCTGAGCCAATCACAAGTGTAAGTGGTGCAATTACACCAAGGCTTTGTGATAAATAAGAACACAACAGCGGCCTAGTTGACCTTGTCCACAGAGTCTTTCTAATCGCTGCTCACGTTTCAGCGCAGCCCTCAGCCTGGTTACGGTTTCATACCCTTACTGTTGGACGCTCTTATCTTTGCAGGGTCATAACAACGTAATTGTGAATGAGACTCTGAGACAGACAGAATTTCTAAGTGTTATTGGATCAAGTCTGGTGGACTTGTCCACAATGAAAGAACCACTGCAGGAACTGTGTGAGGACCGATCTGTTCACTGGACCCAGGAAACTGATGGTGAGAACTAAAATGTGATCAGTACATCCGGTCAATTTGAAAGATAGATAATCTAAGGCTGTTGAACTGAAACATATGGTTTAGCTGGGAGGCACTAACAAGAGAAGTACGACCATAATTGGCGTTGGCAACTGAGATTAAAATGGCCATGTAACAGCAGAACACAGATTAAGTATTACGGATAGAATATTTAATAATATAGTTCCTCCTCTTGTCATAACCCTCAACAAATGTATGGTGAATGGTTTGTATCAATAGAATCAAAGGAATAAGGTCTCAACTGAATCAAAGATTCATATTCATGAAGTCACAGAACAACGGCATATATACTGCTGCTGCAGGAGGTTACTGAGTCTCTGCGCTGGTCTCTCCTATGGATCTATACGGGTCTGCACTGGTCTCTCCCATGGATCTATACGGGTCTGCACTGGTCTCTCCCATGGATCTATACGGGTCTGCACTGGTCTCTCCCATGGATCTATACGGGTCTGCGCTGGTGTCTCCCATGGATCTAGACGGGTCTGCACTGGTCTCTCCCATGGATCCATACGGGTCTGCACTGGTCTCTCAAGTCTGGTCTATGCGGTCTCTCTTCGGTCCGCGCTGGTCTCTGCGCACCGGTCTCTCCAGTCAGGTCACTACAGTCTTGCGGTCTCTCCTGTCCGCGCTGGTTTCTGTGTGCTGGTCACTCCAGTCTCTCCTCGGGTCTGCATTGGTCTCAGCCTTGGTCCGCGCTGGATCTCCTCCCAGGGTCCAAAATATTTTGAGATTCATCTTTAAAATAATACATAATATATTTTTAAATTAAGATCATAACATTTTGAGATTAATCTCATCATATTCTTAGATTAATCTCATAATTTTGCTACTTCGACTTTATTCTCATAATATTTTGACTTTTAAGTCAACATTTTATAACTTTATTCTCAGTCTGGCAAAAGAAGAAAAAAGGGTGACTCTTTTGCTCCGTGTAACTCTTTTCTTTAGGCCTGTTGCTGTTTCCTCTGCCGTCTGCACACGGCCCTGCAGTCCCTTTTATGGGCATTAATGGGCGGTTACTTATGCTAAGTACCTTCGACTTCGACTAATGAAGCACCTGGCACGCGCGCTCTACTTACGAGGAAATGGGATTCATCAATCTAAGAAGACAGCTGCGAACAATTCAGCGGCTTACGAGTGCGTTGATGAATCCCACGTAGGGACTTCTTAGAAATCTACTTAAGGACAACTTGAGAAGAAATTTGAGAAGTTTCTTACGAAGTTATTCGTGAATGAGGCCCATTGTTCTCTATGTATCACAAACACCTAAAATAAGTATCACAAAAAAGTGTCAGGGGATTTTTTTTTTTTATTGTAGTATCTTGGTAATCTAACGACACAGACAATCTGTTCTGAATAAATTTAAATCTATTTTTCTAAATATAATTGTTTTTAAGGATTCAAAGCATATTGAAAGCAATATATATTTATATGATATTTATTATAATAATAATCAGAATATTATCACATTAGCTAAATGCATTCTAATGTTTTCCCTGGTGTAGTATATTATTCATTATTGTCTCTCCCCTTCTCAGGGCCTGGGAAACAGAGGCTGGTTTACTTCTGCATTGACATCTGCTTCCCCAGCAACATCTGTGTGTCTGTGTGTTTTTATTATCTGCCGGAATGATACCATATCAAATTACATAAATGAGGAGGGGAACAAAGTTGTCTTTTCACATACTTTTTTGAAAAAGACCAAATCCGGTAAACAGGAGAGGCAGTGTTGCTTCTGAGAGTGAAGAGCTGGAGAAAGCCTGTCAAAGTTATCACCAAAGTACCTTCACCACATTCTGTATGATTACAAGGGAGAAAATCCCCTTTCAGCATGACACCAACTGTATTCTGTTATTACATGTAGTTATTTTAGTTTGGCTTTTTTACTTTTTAATAAAACGATTGGCGCAAGGATTTTTGTGTAGCTGTCATACCCACCTCATCCCCCAAAATTATGTGGATATTAATAAATGTTTTGTCATGAGTTTAAAGGCTTGTCAACGCACTACACTGAAGTGATAAGACAGACAGTCCCTCCACTAAGAGAGGCAGTTCCATTAATAATGAAATCCAGCAATCACCTCCAAAATCATTCTACCGGATTGACTCCATCACCACCACATTCTCTCACATTCAGATTCATACTACTGTACAGTGCATGTGTATTTAAGTATTCATTTACACATTTTATTATGGCACACAGATTAACAACATGATGTTCATAAAAAGTATATAATTTAGTATTTTGTACAATACTAGCGCAAGATTCAATTCAGCTCTTGTCACAACACATGCTAAGGAAAGTAATATAAATCTGAGACACAGACATAAACTGGTCTGACATTACTCTTACTTTCAAGTCCATTTTGCAGTAAGTTAACCTGCTTGTTCAGCCGAGGACACTGTCGTTGAATGCAAGACACACAACTGCCTTTTGGTGACCACTATATTCCCTCTTGATCTCTCCAGTCTCCACACACCATAGACGAGCAAGATTATCTGAAGAAGCTGTGCACAATAACAATATGATTACCATTTCACATGATCTATAATGCTGCTAATGTACTTCACTAACCTGTCACTATATACTGGGAGTCCCCCGAAAAGGCACAGTCCCACATCCAGCCTCTAGATGTCTCCCCAGGGTTGTTGCTCTTTATACTTAGCTCAGTCATGAGAGAGAAATTCGAAGTTCTCCAGATTTTGCATGTCTGGTCAGCTGAACAAGTGGCCAATAAGCTAGAAACAAAAGAGGGCATACAGTATACTGAGAATATATCAGCAGACAACCCTACACATATTTTGTTAAATTGCATACCTCTTAATCTTAATATTAGTATGAATTACAAAAAAAGAAAAAAGAACAATTCTGGCAAGTCAGGCCTGGTTGGTGCCAATTCCATTAAGTTAACTATATTGAAAATAAGACTTACGTGGAATCAGGGCTAAACTTGCAGCGAAGCGAGTAGCGCTTATGTGCTGGAATTTTTGTTTTTGGAATAAGCTGAGTCACCTCATCACCCATGCCACCAGCAAGATTCCACACATAACAATTACCCTGCAGGATGTAAAAGTAACCAATATTATAAGCACAGGGAGACACAAATTAAAAATGCATATACTGACCGAGCTGTTAACTGCTGCCATGTAACTAGCATCTGGGTCAATGTGGACAGAGTTTATTGATACTTCTGGCTCAGGAATAAGCTGTTCATTGTGGTCAGTTTTAAGATCCCATATATGGATCACACCACTTTGGTCTCCAACAATTAATTCTGCCTAAAGAATATAAAATATGAAAGAAGTAGAAATACATTGATGTCAATAATATTTTTCCTGTACCTGGTTTGGGTGCAAGCAAACACAGTTGATAGGAGCATTAACCTGGAATATCCTTTGGCATTGCAAATTCCTGGACCTATCAGTGGAAATAAAAATACCATGATTGTGAACACAAGAAACGTGAATATTAATTCATGGGGGTTATGCCATTTATAAAAACCTCAAATCCCAGATACGAGCCATGCAATCTTCTCCTCCTGTATACATCCAACGGCCATCTTCATGGAAACCCACAGAGGTGATGTTTTTGCTGACACCGTCATAGTTGATAACTGGATTGGGGTTGTTGGAGTTGAGATCATACATGCGAATGTGTTGATAACCTACAAAGTGAGTAACACTGGTTAAAGGATAATCCTAAAGACCTCTGGATTCATGAACGACTAACCTGCAGCTGCTATCATACTCCTGTCTGGTGTGACTTCAAGAGAATTCACTTGCTGAGGACAGGTGATAAGGAACAAGCAGGCAGCATTGTAAACAATAGAAACATGATTTTATGTGCTGCTGCTAAAAGATACAGAGTCTTGATGCTGTACAGTCCTGGTGCAAATCCCACTGTGAGCCTGCCAGAAGCGGACAGTGTGGTCATAACCTGCGGTGGCCAAGATGACAGGATCACTGCCCACTGTCCCCTGGTTCACATTCATGTTAAGACTGCAGGGTGTCACGGCGCAGGAATTAGAATCAACCACTGAGAAATAGAAATACTTGTTAAATGAGTTCAGTTTATGGTTTGTTACAATTCATTTGTTATACTATCAGTGAACTTGTTCTACCTACTTTACTTAGCTAGCTAACCTATACAAAACATTAAGCGATTCTTGGTACAAGTAACGTTAAGGTTTAACCAAACAGCATATAACCTTACGATAAAGCGAATGAGCTTTAAGTTTTAAAATAAAAACATATTCAAAAACGTTTAACATTAACTCAGAGAAGACCTTTGAAAGTGTATTTACCTTCAAGATTCGATGTTGTCCTTATTGGTGCGACACCCAAACGTGTCCGTCGAACACGATTATAGTAATTTAAGGTTCCGCAGTTCAATTTTGGAAAATATTGCCCCCTTTTGATTACTTTTGGTAACAAGCATTATAGGCCTTTAATATATTACATGAATGATTTGTTTTGTTTTTCAAAACATGAACAAATGTATTTGTGAAGAATGTTTGAAGCCGTATCCATACTTGGATGGTAATGAGCAAAGAGGATATTTTTACCAAATTTGGATGAAGGGACTCATAACTTTGGCATCACTGCAGGTTTCTGTGATGTGCACAGACGGATTGTGCCACTGGAGCTGAGAAATGGGTTGATTCAGTCAAATGACACAAAGTCCCCCAACAAAAATGAGAATAAAATAGAATTTATAACATTCATCAATAATTTGAATACACATTAAACAATGTTAAAAATAGTTTACATTTGAATAAATATTAATGACATAAATAATTGGAAACGTATATAGATATAGTGAAAGTTAAACTAAATAAATATTTGAATAAGAACTCTGCCTTATGTTACATTCTTTGCATGAGTACAGCCATGTGCTGTTTCACCTCGCCTGGATCGGCCAACGAGAACCCCAGGATTATGCCTTTGACCCCAGGCCTCATTTTATTAGGTGGAAGTATCTGGAAAAAATGTATTGGTTACTCTCACACAATTATGTCTGTATTACAAAACAGGTGGACCACCTACCTTAACATATATTTTGCATCTTTCCAAAAGAAATTTCCATTTCAAAGCTGTTCGTTCATCGTCAGTCATATTTGTAAACTCTTCCGTCTGTACATTGACAGAAACTTTTACTCAACTACTAATCCACTTTATTAAGTGTGATGATGATTTACAAAATAAATGCTCATAAAGATAAATAGCCATGACTATGTTTACTTTCTCTCCGACTTTGTCTTCTGTTTGTCAATACTGTTTGGTACTTACAGTGCAGTCCAAGCACTTCTCGGCCTCTGGGCTTCTGAAGATGCAGCCCTGCAGAGTTCCAGTGTGGTCCGACACGTCCACGAGAAGGTCAAATGTGGCAGCAGCAGAATAACCCTGCTCTCTTCCTGGACACATCTCATTTGTGCAGCTCTGCTTCTCTTCAGAGACATGGAATTTACATCTGGTGCTACAACAAGGAAATAAACACAATTTACAGTATGTGATGCTTTCTCGTTTGGTTTGAATAACATTTTAAAATTTACCAACGTGTTCGAATGACTTTGGAAACAGAAGAGTCGAGATCCAGTCTGGAGATGAAGCTGTATGTGACGCCAAAGAACGGCTCAGATTCATCCAAAGCCTTTTGCTTGAGCTGGTTCACAGTGTACACCGCAGTGATTGACTCAACTGCAATCACAACATATCAGCGATGTAACATATTATTCTTTGGGGGGAAATCATTTTTATTAGTGGGTTTAAACATCGCCAAATGCAGAGGCAGATTCCAATGATAGAGAATCCTAGATCATCAAGTTCTTGATGCAAATTACAAATACCTGTATGATTCAAAAGAAATATATAGTTGAAACACAACTATTTATTAAAACGAACAAAACAAAAAACATTTGATGTGGTGGCAGACTATAGCCAAAGGAACTGGGGAAACAAACCGTAATTTGAACTATGTCATGTTGGAAAGAACTGTTTTTTTTTCTCCGAAAGAAAGGAGATTATATAGTTAATATAGGGCGGTGGAACACGACTAGTAATACAACATATGAATAATAAGCTCATTCAATTTCGGCACACACCAGAGACCTCTTCGGACTTCTCCTCTTCGAGCCCTCCAGACTCTGACAGCTCTTTGGCATAGCTGAACAGCAGACCGGCCTCTCTTGTATCTACCAAACGTAACAAAAGCACACTGGAAATATGCCAACCAGAGGAAATGATTTACCACAAACACTTCTATCAAAAAGAATGTTTGGTAAATGTTATGGATATTTCCTAACCTGGATTGACGGTGATAATGGTCTTGCAATTAACAGTGGCCACCATAGCATTTCGAAAACTGTCAATGCTAATCTTCACATCAGCTATGAAGAGCACTTTGAGTGAAAGATAAAATTAAAACAACATTTAGATACATCTCAGATATCCTTTTCATGCTTCTCATTGGCTCCCTGTGTTAATGTGATACGACAGACCGGAATAACAGTTGAATAAAGATTGGCTTTGTGGTGCAGAACGCGCAGCAGCTGTTAACCTACCCGTCTCTTTGGGCACCAGCGTTTGTATGAGCTGAATGGCCTCTCTGTCCCAGCTGTGAGTGAAACAGGGGTCAAATAGTGACTCAAGGGAGAGTGGGGTGAAAATCAAACACACATGCACATAAAAGGCGTCATATCAGCACAGTCCATTTGTGGTGATGCAAAGAAACACATCTGTGGTCTAAAGTCTAACCAAGTGGAATGGTGCAAATGTATAAAAGTGTATATAAAGTGTATTCAAATGTTTGACGCACAAGACAAGAGGAAATGAAGACACAGCGTCATCAAAGAGTTTCACTTCCATTCTCTGCCCTCTGCGTCCGTCTGAAGTGGTGAACTGCTTCAACTCCCCGATCTGAAAAAATAAACATAATCATTTCAAACTTGGCTTGTTTCTTAATCAGCAACTACAGTGCAGGGTTTGGACTCAAACTGAACTTAACGCCCTTCAACTTCATTTTGGTTTTCTTGGTTTGCACTGGGCTCTATAGAACCATTACACAGTCTTCGAGAAGTCAAAGCAATACAGTTAAGTCTACAACTATGGAGAGTTTTCTTCTTTGAGTAATGATATGGTTTTGGATCAGTAAGAAGCACTGCACTATACTTTGCACAGCTGATACAGAAGTAGAAATACTTCTAATACTACTAATAATGGTTGAATAATTTACTGGAGTTCCATTTTTAGATTCCCTCACGTAAAAAGTATGTTTTAACTTTGTTTTCTGAAACCAAACATTTTTCTGGTTAACGCTGCAGGGATCCAAACATTCAAACCACAAAAACTTTGAACTATGTAATGGAATCCATCTAACTAGTTCCAGTTTGATTATTTTACCATTGTATTAAACATGTTGTTACCTTTACATCATGGGTAAGTAAAATAAAAAACGTTTTAATTTTTTGAAGCAAGCAGTTTTTCTTATAAAGCTTCGAACAATACACAAATCTTGAATTCACTATTTTAACAATACCGAATGTGTAGAAAGATCCCATTTGTAAACATATTCACAAAATGTTTACGTTTGCTTGTTTACAACCAACAGCTCACTATATACCTATCCACCTCATAATTATTAATATAAGTAATATACATATCCCAATGACTCTTATTTCACAATAGGGCAAAGAAATATGGTACCGATCTCACAGCCGCCAGCACATTGATGACTGTTCCATCCAATGTCTGTCCATTGGCCACGATGTCCCCCAGTGAGTAGAAGTCCCCAGGGTCTTTGACTGGCAGGTGGGTGAGAGGCAGCATCCTCTCAATGACAACAATGTCTGCACAGTTAAGCACCTGAGAATGGGCTTCTGTCACACTCAGTCTGAACATACTGTAACAGAAAATAGTTTACTGTCACTTTAAAATCTCTGGACACGTCTTAATTTAATAACCTACTCTTATATGTTTACTGTGTGTTTTTATTTAAAAAAAACATTTTTTAAACATGCCTTTTTATTTTTGTTGTTTTACTGTTTTATTATTTTTTATTGCACCATAAATGCCAAAGCAAAATAATTTATTGTAATGATTATAATTTATTATGATTCCTGTTCACTGACATTAAAATATTATGGTTACGTCAAGTACCTTGGAGTTGTTGGGCAGTATTTGTCACCTTTCTCTGGGTCTTTGTGGGTGATTAAGGGATTATCAATTGTGACTGTTAGAAAAATAGTGAAATGGTATAATATGAAGAGTAAATATTCCAAGGTGAATGGCTTTCTTACCACAATCTCCAATAGCGAAGCTGTTTGTAAGGCTGTTAATGTATACTTCACTTCCCCACGCAGACACATTGATGAAGAAGTCGGGAGAGTCTCTGAGAGTGAATCCAAACGTGTGTCTCTCTTCCCCAAAACCTGACAAGCACAAACAAGTCCAGAAGTTACGTCGTTTCTAAACTAACCAGCAGAGGCCACTCGAATCACACAAGACACGGCAAACTCACTTTTTCTGTCAGGAAAACTTTTGGTATCAGTTTTTGCAATGACAGCACCAGCTAACTTCTGCAAAATAAGAAGACACAGGGTAGGCACTAAGCAGACAAACATTGAAAATATGCACAAAATCAAAACGATGGTACTCACGACGTGACTGTAGTTAGGATGGAGGTCGGCGATGGCGATGTAGATTTTAGCTGCCATTTCCCTTTATATCTTAAACCTTTTCAAAAAAACACTTAATACAGGGGAAAGAAAATATGATATGGTGATAAACTGTAAACAATTAGTGATATTTCTTGCTAGTATTATTACCATAGAACAAACAAATAAGCAATTTTAGACAAAACTATATATGTCTGTAGTTTCAGTGTTTTATTTGATATGTTCTTACCTGTTTTAAGTATGAATCGGCGCATGGCCCACAGACCGTGAAAATAGATTTGGCGCCACTGGAGCCGCTGCGCGAGCTCTGCGTCATACGACATTTCTTTTGGTTTACCTTTTAACCATAAATAATACATTTTACTTGTCCCAACAACGTTCTGGAAAAGTGTGAATAAATCATACCACAACATAGTGTCTTATAAAAATAAGTCAGCTTTGCATATGTAAAATAGAACCCTGTGAGCCACGCTTTGGGCTGCGAGCTGATTGGCTGAGTGAGGGTGGTCCTCTTTTGTTAAACCATCTGTCTCATTTGACGCCCAGAAATTAAATACATGTGAAGACTTGGAGAAAACTGTTGTGAGATCGTTACATAGTTATTTTTGTTGTGCTTTGAAAGTTACTCTAGCTAAATACATGTTCACAGGACCAAATGCCCACGTAATAGGCAGTATTCTATTTTATTTTGATAGCACAAATCTGGCGCTTGAAATTCTGTATTTAGTACAGAGATCACAAATGTATTAGTACCGGTAATCCTTTATTGTTGTCCTGCCATGTTCTTTTTAAGTGTAAATTAAGACTGAAAGACCAAAAGAGATGTCATGCCAGCCACACTGACTCCTCTGCCTCTGCACACCTGCTCCTGTGCTCAACATCAGCCTCAGCTGCTCAGTAACACACCTAAAGCCTGGTTCACACGAGACGATTTTAAAATTGTCGGCCGATTTTTCTCCGTGTTAGACCCCACACGGGGAGATTAAAAATCCTGCGTCTAACCACTTTGGTCGTGCAGTGTGTGGTGCGTAGCCACACGGCAAGATCACGCAAGCCACAAACATCACACACGAACCGACATATGCCATGCAGTATTCTACAGTATAATGCAATCTTGACAATAAACATTCTAATTTAATCTTTGTCTTGAGTCTTTCCAGATTGAATTCTCCACAGTGACTAATGCTTGTGCTTGGTGTTGGAATTCTATTCCTGGCTTCCCTGTGACTAATGATAATTTTCGAGCTGTATTATGTTTGTTATTGTGCGTTTACTGGTGAACCTCCATAAATTCTTTTACTCATAATGATGAGTATCACCGGCCATATGAAATGGGAACATAGAGTATTGATTAGAGCTGCAGCTAACCATTATTATTGAATTGATTTTGAATTATTCAATTAGTATTTTGATTTCATTTGATTATTTGGATACTAGATGGTGCTATGAGACTTGGGTGGCATCTCTGACTGCCACCCCCCTGACCCAGAAATGGATTAAAGGGTAGAAAATGGATGGATGGATGAATGGATATTTGGATACTAAGGTGCAGCTTTTTGTGCTGTTTTGTGATTTACATCTTATGGAAAGATAATGTCTAAAGTGCTGATTATTCTCATTTGGCTAAAAGCAGTAAACAAGAGTTCATTTATTTGTGTAGAAATACAGCGCAGATGTTTTGAAAAGACACATACCAATATTATCTGTGATAATATTGAAGACTCAGCTCCACGTCCACGTGTCGTTGCTGCCTTAGCATTGATTAAAGAGTATATAATGTAAGAAAGTCATGATTAAATTCACCTAATGCTGAAGGATCAATTTGTGATTTACACTTTTGAAAAAACTATTCAAATTAAAATCAATTTTAAATTCTAATTTCATTAGTTTTTTCATTTCAGTTTGTGAGTCCATTAATCAAAACGGTCAGATAAATCAAGTTGAACTTACTTTTGCATTGGTAATGTAGCCAACGTGCCTTTTCAGTCATTAATCCTGCTTCGATCGGGCCGTTTGTCAGTTGATTTTAATATTTATTTGCATGTTTATCATAAGCAGGCCTCACTGACACGTGGTGGGATATGTTTTCTTCTCGCTAATCTCTAAATGTGTCCAGGACCTGAAGGAACCTCTGGAGGAATGCTGTGATTGGCTGCCCTCTGAGCCACAGGTCATCCCCCTAGAGACCTCCGCTCCGTTGCTGGAAATCCATCATAGAAATGCAGGTATTGTTATTCAGGTGTTTTGGGTCCAATTCATCATGGAGGTCATATGTGCGAATGGTGAAAAATACACACAACACAATAATTTGATATCAATTACTTGAGCATTTTGCGCACATTTACTGCATGCAGTATGGTAAAAAAGTTACACGTGAATCCGAGTCTGGGTAAGAGATATACGTATACATATTTCATATGTTGAGTTAATGTGACATCACAAGATTCCAAGGTTCCTATTGTTTATAATTGTGGCTGAGGACAGGACAGAAGACAAATCTTTTCTGGTAACTATGGAAACTGTCCAAAGTGAAACTTCTAGGCCTTTTCTTTTAAAGCCATTTTTGATGTAATCTCTGAACCAATCCACATAAGACACACTGCCACAACATTCTACATCTTCTCCGTCAGTGCTCATCAACTAGCTGGTCTAATTATTTGAAAGTGTCTAGATGTCCAGAAACTTTTGGACAATTTGCTTCTATCCCATTAGCACCTGCCCTCCAACTGAAATACAATTCTACAATTATAACTCAAACTATTGAACTGTTTTGTTCCATACTTGAACAAAAAACATATGTACAAATAACATGTATTATAATTATATAAGTTTTGCAGCTTGTCTCATTTGTGTGTCAGGTCTGAGATGAAAAAAGACTGAAAAGACATTCCATTTAGCATTTAATAGCTGTCCCGGACTTCCCCAATGGCTTCAGAGAGGATTTGTGGTTCTGATGTCCACCTTTTCTTTATAAAACATTATAACACAGGAGGAAGCAGAGACACCAGTGTGCGCCTGCAGGCATGGCAACACAAAGAAAACACAGCAGCCCATGTCGAGTAGGAATTGAACATCCGGAGCTGGATTCGGCACTTTATTGGTGGAAGACAAAAAAAGTTAGTGATTAAGGTAGGGTCCCCCTCTTACTACAAAATTATAAACCTTATACTATGTGAACAAATTGAAATAAGAAGCTAACAGCTACAAGCTAATAGTTACGACTATCAACGAGTACGCCTGTTGGTAAATTGCATAATAGTCTAAAAAATAAAGCACACAGGAAAACTCTCTATCCCAGATAGCTTATAACATATAAGAAAAACACAAGGTTCAGAGTTCTATAATAAGATTAATAGGTCTAGCTGACCAACACCCAACCCCACAAAAAGCTAATTGGATACAATAAAACAGCCATTTCTGTGCAGCAAGTTTCCAAATTTATGAGATAATTTCCTATAGCACTAATCTGGAAACATTGTTCTGTGAGCTGTGTTCTTCTTGGCTTTGACATGCCGTTTACATCCAAGTATAGCTTTTGCAGTTGCTGGCAGTGGTTGGGTTAGTCTTTATTGGCTCAGAGAAATGGACTACATCCAAACTACAAACCTATGTGTACACTGTAATTTCCCTGCCACCTGTGTGACTGACTTGAACTCCCAGAATCACCGTAGCACAGTACACGAACAATACTCTCTGTCTCCTCATCTCCACATCCACAGACACGCAAACGGACTGCGGCCGAATCTTGAAATAGTTTTAATAACGTGCTGGTGAAATGCAGCAAGCGCAGAGAAATTATTGGCACGCATGTCAGTCAACCATTGCTGGCACTGTATTAGAGATAATGAGAGGAACACGATGGCATGCTACCGCAGCGACGGCCATATTTGGTGCACTGTGAGCGTGCAGAGTGACCCGTTTTGCGAGGTATGATATGACAAAAGCAGGACATGACAAGAGTGGTCTGTCATGACGCTGCTGTGGTTGAATCAAAGTCAAAACAGGTACCGCCAAGGCTTGTTTTATTTAAATTCCCATGGCCTTAATCCAAGTTAGTAGCTTGCTCAGACAAAAGCTACATACATGAATGTTCTCACGGGGGAAGAGCGAAAAGTCAGTCTAAAGCCTTATCGTGCAAATCATATTTTTATGTTGAGTATAGAGTGTAGTTTCACTGATCCATGCTTTGATTTCTTCCCTCCAAGAATTTATGTCGCTTTGTCCTCAAAAATCTTTATCCACAAATCTACCAACGTCAATTTAATGTTACCCAGAGCTTTCAACCATTCATCATTTTAACTGTGCAGAGAGCCAGTGCTATATTTCTACAACATCAAAAGGCCTGTTGTCCTGCTCTATCCCACTCATGTGCTCGCTGTGACTTGTCCATGTTTGACAGAAATATCACTCACCCACAACTTTGACCTCAAAAGACATATTTTTAATTAAAACAGTATTGTACATGTTTTCCTTAAATGACGATGGGAACACGTTGCTTCAATTATAGCAGACAGATGCATGAAACAGCAGCCCTCACGTCCACCACCAAACAAAGGACAGAGTGAATCTGAATCTGGGGATAAAACACGGGACGAAAAATACTTCTATTTATGATTTGATGGTTATTGATCCTCATGTTGCTGATTTTATGAGTCGAGGCGGTGATACGGTTGATTGTGAAGCCTTGCCTGTACTACACACGCACTGTAGCTATTGTGATGGAGTTAGAAAGGCAACACTGCTCACAAGACAGATTTTAAAGTCTTTTGAAATGATATACCTCATTATTATGTATTCATTATTCATAAGTAATACATGTAGGTTGTCTCAACAGAAAGAGTCTTTTGGTAAAACGTTGTGACCAAATCAAACCAGAACATGCATATCCTGTGGGTCACTGATTGACACTTTGAGCTGAGCGCTGATTGATAGTTTTTCACCTTTTAATGTAGCTAAAATGACAATAATAAAAACGTCTGTTAGCTGAAAGTGCTATTGTATTAGATTTGATTCAGAATAAATTGCACTTCTTGCTCTAT